TGCAATCAGTTATTCATACTTTGCACGTGACGTCACACAAGTACTGGCTGGCGGGCAAGAACGTCGTTCTCCAGCAACGAAACCCAGTAAACTAATCAAGGATCTTGCCAGGACGTCGCCAGTTTTACTATACAAAAGTTGGTGTTTTGAGGTTTGTGATATCCATGGTTTTCAATGAGAACCAGAGATGACCCAACAGTAGAGCTAGATTATTTACGGAGGAATTATTACTGCTCGATTATCTTAAAAAAACCTTGTCTGCTTTACACAATTTAGCTACCTTGGAGTTAATCCTATTTCTAGTCCATAGTTATGCAGCTAGCTCGCTAACAGACTTGATAGCTACTAAAATATAAGTCCCATGAGACCTGGAACTACAGGACTCTACGTTGAAAATACCCGTTTGTTGCCCGCCAGGTATTCATGGTAGTCACGTGACTGCAAAGTATGAATTGGACACCAGATGACTGGAGGCAGGGAGCAAGATCTGTCAACTGTTGCCGCTGTTTCAAGCCAACGCTAATGGTACACATCTAGTGGAAACCCAGCAAACAACTGAACATGCATGTCGAATGGAAACTCTTCAGGTAAACAGACACTGGGATGGTTTAGAAAAGGGAAAAGCAATCCATGGCTTGGATGGCCACTGTACTGCAGAGTTTGGCTCCATCACTAATCAAAAACACCTGCCTACAATTTCCAAGTAATCCTGAGACCTTGGCTGTCTCCGAAATCACCCCCATACCCTTAAATAGGGCACCATTTGTGGCGAAAGCCATTTGTAGTGGTGTCCGAAACCATAGTGAACAACACAACCTTTAAAAGTTTGAGATTAAACTCATTGTTAAAGGGAGCGTTCATTGTTATTGTTAGCAAGACATTGTTTGGGATACAATTGGGGTAATCCACCACTGGCGCCTTGTGACTTTCATGTTGTGTAACGCTTTCCCCGCCATTGACTTAGTTTTACATAATTTATGACACAACGCTTCTCCGCCATTGACGGAAAATTTCGGCAATCCATGTTTTCACTGTTATACGGTAGACATCTATTACACATCTTCCGAAAGAGAATGGCATCTACGGATCCAGAAACAAGAGATAGGCCCTGTCCCAAATGGCACCCTAGACACTCGCGGTCTTCCTCTGAGTCGGCACTTTCGTGACGTAACGCCGCTTTGACTGTCGGGCAGAAGTCTGCTGAGGAGCTTCAGTTCTGAAGATGAACGAAAGTCTTACGGGGTTGGAACAACATGAGGGAGAGTAATCACTGACAGAATTATTATTTTTGGGTGAACTATCCCTTTAAGTGAAAGTTTGTGTCAATGAGTCCATGCATTTTGGTCGTTCATTTAGCTTTGGGGGCCTGAACACGCAAACTTTAGAAATTGGGTTTCAAAGTTTTTCAAACCGATACCGTTATCGTTGCAAAACTACACAAACGTTAATTTGTGAAACGGTGACGTCATGCGCACGTGTATCACGTGTTCAGTCTAGAGGCGCGCAGTGTTTCTTTACAAAGTGACGTCGCCACCTACTGGCCTGGCATGAATAATACAGCGTTTTAAACGTTTTCACGGATCCGTGTGAACGGGGATCATTTTGACAACGCTGTCGTCTGCGCGCGAAAAAAGCAAAGTAAAATCTTTTTGACTTTTAGTACATCATTGACATGTAAATGTATCCTTAGTCATCACGATGCAAGATGTCATTGCCGTATATCTGCCTAATAGGGGTGTAACAATATATTATAGAATAAGATATAGATGCAATACAAAAAATGCAACATGTACTGTGGAAGGCAACGATATATATTGTGTGTAGTAATTACTGACAGAATTTACATTTTTGGGTGAACTATCCCTTTAATCACAATGTCAGTTGCAATTTTTGCAGGTTACCTATTAATGAAATAACAGTGCTTAAAAGGAAAGACGTCCCAGAAGCACTGCCTCTTAAGAGTCACTATTCACTTGGCTTTAGGATAAACGTAGCAATAACCGCAACGCATGGCTTAAGCCTTCTTGTTTTGCGAGGTTTATAAATAAAGCAGTGTGATGGTAATGTTCTACGTTTAGAAAAGCATGATATGAAAAGGTGATTCAGTGCACAGCTGGCAAGAGCGTGAGGCGTGAGCTCATCCCGTCCCGAGCGACAGCAATGTTTACATTATACAGACACGGACGACACGGGAGGTTTCGTCACACAATCTGATACTGTAAGCTAGAAACAAGACCGGTTCAACACACAGGTTTCGTGTGTTGAAAAAAAAAAAAAGGTGCTAGAAATAAAGTATTTCAAGTCAAACAAACAAGGCGGCATTATAAAAATGGTAGAGAAAACATTTTATAATATATCTTGAGATATTTTCAGTCATTCGCATTGGATAAGATAATCTTAAAAACTGCATGAATCATACAGAGAATCATACACTCAGAATGAGATATAGAAGACATGCAAACAAGCTTATTACAACATTTAAAGTACCACAAAATACCAAATGTTTCCCAGCCCAAGATGATGTATGTACAGAATATACATAATTTACACCCCTTATTCTGTGGTCGGATTATGATTCGCGTGTACGCTGTCTGAACTAAGAAAACAGTGGGGTGTGCATGCTAACACAACGGTTTTGCGCAAGATTTCCTTTCAAATATGCATTCAAACATCATCAACCTGCAACTAAATACATAATAAACACCATAAAAGTATAGTTTGTTGAAATTGGTATTATGTAAACTTGCTCTCGCTCTACAGGCACACAGTGATGCGATTCACTAAAATGTAGTATTTCGCTAAAAATGGGCCTCATTTATGAAACACGAATGTGTACATTGATGCATTTACTTAAAAATTGTTTGGTATGTTTCATAAGTTAGATCCTATGGCTCAAATATTACATTCATCAAGAGATTCTATATCGATATACTGATAAAGCCATGAAATAAACACTATATGAAAGAGTTGCATCTACATTTACTTTAAAAAGACAAAAGACGCAATATTTCAACTGGTGTTGCTCAGATTATTATGTGGGCAACAATACTGATTTTATAAAAAAAAAAACCTTTATAAGATGTCCCATTGTCACTTGAGAAATACCTACTGATAAAAAAAAAAATCCCATAGAAAAATGGAGTGATTACGCCAGCCGTTCGCTCAGTAGCGGTTGAGTTTGTCCGGGTCGTTTGATGCCATCTGGGTGAAGTCCTGGAAAATGTCCTGGTACGTCTCATCTCCTGTGAAGAGAAACCAGCTTGATTAAGAGAAGGAGAGAGGGATTGATCTGCATCAAACACGCTCAACACACACGAGCACATGCTGTAATCTGAAGAACACACACACACACACACAGATGAGCTCCATACCTGCACTATTCACAGCAGAAACTCACAGAACAGCAGGAGAAAAGAGCAAACGCAGAGTTTGAGAAGCACATGATCAGATATCAAGTATATTTATTGACTATTTACATGATATCTATCATATAGTAGCACAGAAAATAATTGAGTGTTTTGCAAAGTGTGAAGATTTCCATGTAAAGGAACGTTACAGGAGCGATAGATAGCCACATGAAATATGTATATGTTCCAAAGAAAGAGAAACAGACAGTAAATAAATGAATATACAACGTTTTTAATGCTTTGCAGAATTATATATAATAATTCCATCACTTAAGGCCTTCTGAACACCTTGATGTTGCATATTAATTAACCTGAGACTCACAATATATCGCTCACAATTTTGAAAATAATATTTTTATTAAAAGAGGTCACGTAAAGTCAGAGAATGTCTGTGGCGAAATGAAGCGGAGGAAGAAAATGAAACGCTTGAACTGCATTGTGGGGCGTAAAGTCCAGCTCTATAGCGCCCCTCTGTGACCGATGCCAGTACTGCAACTCATTTGGCACAGAATATATTCATTACAACATTCAGACGGTCACATTTCTCTTGTAATGTAGCTGAATAAACATTTAGTACGTAAAGTATTTAATCTATTCCACAAAATATATATATATATTAAAAAAAATTTACAGAAAAAAAAAAAAAAATGTTCATTACCTCATCATCAGTCTTCAGTGTCACATGATCCTCCAGAAGTCATTCTGATATGATGATTTATTAGTAATGTTGGAAACAGTTGTGCTGCTTAATATTTTTTTTTTTATAACCTGTGATACTTTTTCCAGGTTTCTTTGATGAATACAAAATTAAAAAAGAACAGCATGTATTCAATATAGAAATCTTTTGTAACATTATACACTACTGTTTAAAAGTTTGGTGTCAGTACTTTTTTTAATTTAAATAAATTAATACTTTCATTCAGCAAGGATGTGTTAAATTTATAAAAAAGTGATAGGAATCGTTTATAACAATAGAAATTTTACAATTAATAAAATAACTTTCACTAATAAATCAGCATACTAGAATAATTTCTACATGGTGATGTGACACTGAAGATGGAGCAATGCTGAAAATTTTAAAACATAATTTACAGGTAATTATAATTTAAAAAAATATATATATATTACCATATATTATATTAATTACCATTTATCTGCATAACACAAAAGTGATTTTTAAAAGGTAAAATAATAAATAAATAGATATAGAAATAAAAACTGTACTTTGTACTAAAATAGATGGCCAGTACAGATCTGTTATTATTAACAGAACATGCATTCGTAACAATGATCTATATTTTATCCATGGCCAAATGCAGTGGTCCACTACGTCTTCATAGATATAATATTTATAAACACACTGATTTGATTTAGACCCAAGAATATATAAGAGATAAATACCAGGAATGTGTCCGAATGATCATAAATACACTGAGCTTTCATTGCACTGCTCACTCAGACAGTAATAAGACAAATACACACTCTGTAAATAAGGTGCATGTGTGTTCAGTACTAAGTAACGTCACTCTTTCACAAGACTAGCTATTGCACGTGTGTCACATGGGCTGGATGAGCTCATGTACTGGCGGTGTACATTCGGCTGCTACAGGTTTGTGGCGTGTGTTAGGCGTCTCGGAGCTGCAAGCTAATGAACTCCTCCATACACTTGCGGTACTGCACTTCAGTAGGGCTGTTAGAGTTATAATGACCTGAGTGACTGTACGGACCCTCCGATTCACGCATCTCCTCGTTCATCTTGGCCAGACGAAGCCTGTCAGACACACAGGAAAGCCAAGACCGCATTAAACATTTTATGATCGACACAAATCTCTCAATAAGCATCAAACGTGTGAAAGCTAGGGGAACTTACAATGTGACGATGTCAGCGTTTGCTGCCTCGACTGCGATTGTCAGTGGCGTTTGATTCTCTGCGTCTGCTGCGTTCTGATTGGCTCCACGTTTTAGAAATAAACACACTTGTCTGTGGTAGCAAAACAAAAAGAGCATTAAACCATGATTCACAACTAAGAAAAGCAAAAACTGCATTGCTGTGAGGTGTGTTGAGCAGAGCTCACCCAGTATGGCCCAGTATAGTGGCGTGATGTAAAGGGCCTCGGCCCAGCTTGTCCAGCTGATTGACACTGGCTGAATTTTGGAGCAGGAATTCACAGGTGACGAGAGACCCCTGATGCAGACACACACGAGACACTGTCAAACACTCAGTCTTTGCTGTAAATATGAAGTCTGTCTGAATAAAACAGCATTCGTCGTTACGACTGTAATGTGATGCATTTCATATTCAAATATTAGCCAGAAATGCTAATTGTAATAACTTGCACTGATGAATCATACAATAAGACCACAGACATTTACTACTTGAAAAGTAAAAGCAATTATTATTTTAAAAGTAAAAATCTACTTAATCTGCACGATTAATTTCTGTATGTCGATACACAACACAAAACACACACGGAAAAAAAAGCAATGGCAAATAAAAAATTAAACAAAAGCAACAAAAAACAAAATAAAACAAAAACAAACAAAAAAAGAAGCAAAAACAAAAACGATAGCAAAACAAACACACAAAAAACAAACAAGATGCAAAACAACCCCCCCTCCCACAAAAACAAAAAATACAAAATAAAACAAAAAAACAAAACAAAAAAAAGCAGCAAAACAAAACAAAAAACAGACAAAAACAAAATGCAAAACACCCCCCCCCCCACAAAAACAAAAAACAAAAAATAAATCAAAAAACAAAACATAAAAAAGCAGCAAAACAAAACAAAAAACAGACAAAAACAAAATGCAAAACAAAAACCAAAAACTGAATAAAAACAAACCACAAAAAAGCTAAACACAAAAACACACAAAAAACAAAAACGATAGCAAAACAAAACAAAAAAACAAACAAAAACTAAATAAAAACAAACCACAAAAAGCTAAAAACACTCATGAAAGTAAATCACAAAACAAAAAAACAAACCAAAACATGAAACAAAAAATTGCACAAAACAACAAACCCCCAAAAGACAGCGTGTAAAAGCATTGTGACGGTGGTGTGGAGGCTTCGGTATAATCCCGCCGCAGTTCATCAGGTTCAGTGTGTGTGAGTGTGTGTCCTCACCCCGTGAACGGCCATGATGAGCGGAGTCCTGTTCCCGTCGTCTGTGTTGGTCCAGTTAACCCCTCCCCCGTGCGCCAGGGCTTCGGCCATGTCGGGTAAACTGCGTGCGAACGAGGCCCAGTACAGCTGCAGGCCCGGGCTGAACTGCTCCGGCTCCAGGAACACCACCACGGCTTTACCAGGACACTCCTCTGGGGGATCTGGACCGCACATCCAGCAATACACACACAACCATGACTTTATCTACAGCTGCAACAACTGAAGAACTCTGCAACATTAATAATACTCTCATTTCCTTGATGGAAAACTGATCAATTCTGATAAATAAAAATAAGTGACATTGTGATAAATAACTTTTATATTGTTTTTTAAACAAGTTTATATCTAAAAGTCAGAATTGCAAGATGCAAAAAAAAATGTCTAGCAATTGAGAGTTTATAGTTAAACGCGGAGTTATGGGAAAAAGTCAGAATTGTCAAAGTTGGAATTGCAAGAGAAAAGCCTGAATTTCAAATTACAGACCTGGAATTGTGAGAAAAAGTCAAAATTGTGACTTATGAACTTGCAATTCAGACTTTTCTCTTTCAATTTCAAGTTTATAACTCAAAATTTTGACTTTTTCTCACAATTCCAGGTCTGTAATTTGAAATTCAGGCTTTTCTCTTGCAATTCCAATATAAATGTGAAATTCTGACTTTTTTCTCACAATTCCAGGTTTATAGCTTGCAATTCAGACTTTTCTCTTTCAATTTCAAGCTATAAACCTGGAATTGTGAGAAAAAGTTTATATAAGAATTGCGAGAAAAATGTCAGAATTCTGAGATAAAAAGTTGAAATTATTTTTTTATTCGATTTAAAAAAACAAAAAAAATGACAGAAACAAGCTTCCATGATTATTTAATTAAATAAATATATGTGCTGCATGTTTCAGAGCGAGTCTACTTCTGTCAAATTAAAAGTTAGATAGAAAGAAAGAAAAAGACGATAGAAAGCGCATTAACTTTACAAAAACCACAGCATTTAGTTTGTATAGTGAGTTTACACAAATAAAAGTACAGTTTCGAATAATGTCTGTCTCTGTTCAGTATGAGCATGAATGACAGAGCAGCCCAGAGGGTTAACGTTTCAAAATGGAGAAATTAACACAGTCATAGATATTAGTATTGTAATTAATATTTAATATTTATTTTGTCGTAATAATAATTATCATAATTAATAGTTATTATGATTAGTTTATAGTCATATTGCCATATAACCTCAAATTTTAGGCCAAGTTTTACAAACAAGGACAAAACATGGATTTTTTTTTTTTAAATCACATTTTCTTTCAGAAAACCCCCCGGAATTTTTCAAAATCTATTTTTCCCTCAAATTGTGCAGCCTTCCGGAAGTGTTTCCCCTGAAGCTCGTGTGTTGATCAGACTGACCCGTGTTGTTGGAGGACGCACTCGTGCTCAACATCTCTCTGCTGCCATCTGATTGGTTCTGCACTTCAGCGTCGGCACTTTTCACTGTCAAACAGAGATCAACTTACAGACTCTTCTGTAATACAGTACGCAAACCAGCAACGGCACAAAACATGACGTGAAACTAAACATGAAAACAAACAGAAACACAAAAAACATTCAAAGGAGAAAACAAATAGGCATGAGCCATGTCAAAGTTTCTTACAAAGAAACGTGTGATGGGATGTTGAGGGATGGAGAGACGCTGCAATAATTCCTTCACTGAAACCCGGTGGTCGATTGAGCAAATTCCAGAATTTGAATTCAATTTAAAACTAAATTCTATCTCGAACTGAGGTAGCAAATGGGATGCGAAACTACTGAATTTGAATGTAAACAAGGAGGAAATGGAGGGAAAACACTCCATATGGCGTAATTTCAGAGAGATTAAAGTGTAATGAATAATCAACATTTGAAATCAGAAATGTGTGTTGGTACATCTCAATATAACAATCAACAGATTCAAATTTTGATGCATTTATTTATGTACTTACGTATATTTATTTTATTCAAATTTTTTTTTTTTTACAATTTGTGGTGCTTATGGGGAATTTAAAATGTGTTTAATGGTGGGGCTTTTACTTTTTTTAAAAGAAATATGTCTAATCAGTTAAAGAAATGTATCTACATATGAGAACTTACTTATTTGAAAGTAAAAGCATTTATTATTTTAAAAATAAGATATCTAGTGCACAGTTAACAGTTGCACATTGATGAAACAAAAATAAAATATAACAAAAACATTCTTCCTTCGTGACATATAAATAAATAAATAAAAAACAACTTTTTGATTGATGTCATCAAGTCCACTTGTGTATTAAAGTGGTGTTTTCAAAGTGTTGTGTTTATTAAGAAATATGACTAATCAGTTAAAAAATCTATATTTTAGACAATAAATTGACATAATTAGTCAAAATTATTCATAATTAAGTGTAATATAATTCTTGGCAGTTAATGAAATTTGTTTCGTCACAGATTTTAGTATGACAGCGTTGATTTTTTTTTAAATTCATTCAGTAAATTTCTCATCCTGTGGGTTCTGTGACGAGTTCAACTCAAATCCACACTTGTGAACTGTAACAGTGAATTTTGCTCAACCGTGACACTGAATAAGACAGACAGCTGTACTTACAGCGGCGAGGCTTGGCGGAGGAGTTAAAGTAGGAGAAGAGAGAATCAAGCTCATCTACACAGAAGAGAGACTCGTGGTGCGCTTCAGCAGGTTAGGGTCACAGAGAGGGGCAGAAACACAGAGTAAAAGCACTTCATTGAGCCCGTGGCCCCGTTTAACACCGTCAGAGAGAGGTCAGCTAGAGGTCGAGGTCAGATAGAGGTCAAGGTCAGCTAGAGGTCAAGGTCAGCTAGAGGTCAAATAGAGGTCGAGGTCAGATAGAGGTCGAGGTCAGAGAGAGGTCAGATAGAGGTCGAGGTCAGAGAGAGGTCAGATAGAGGTCGAGGTCAGAGAGAGGTTAGCTAGAGGTAGAGGTCAGATAGAGGTCAAGGTCAGCTAGAGGTCAAGGTCAGCTAGAGGTCAAATAGTGGTCGAGGTCAGATAGAGGTCAGATAGAGGTCGAGGTCAGAGAGAGGTCAGATAGAGGTCGAGGTCAGAGAGAGGGTCGATAGAGGTAGAGGTCCGACAGAGGTCAGATAAGTAGTAGGGTTGCCGCGGTGAGGAAAATTTCCCACCGGTTAATCGACGTTTGACAACACCGGTAATCCCGGTGTCACCGTGGGGTGGGGGGGGGTTAAAAAGCTTTTACAGAGCTGCCAACTCTCACGCATTGGCCGCGAGACACACGCATTTGATTGCTTTCACACTCTCTCACGCCACACTCCCGATTTCTCACGCATGAAGTGTCAACCTGGTCGGTCAAATGCCTGGAAGATGAGTTTATATATCTACCTGTTGAGCCACTCGTGATCGACTAATTATACCGCAAAATAGTTAAAATCTCCTGGAATCTAGAGCGAGCGCGCACGCGAGACAGAGATTATGCTTCAAACCGCATAGCGCGCGCGTACGGAAGAGAGGGAAAGCGAGCGAGAGACCTTGCGTGTGTAAGTGTAAAACCTAAACTCAAAAGTTGGCAGCTCTGGCTTTTACATGCGTGCGCGTTATACTTTCACTTTCGAAATAAGCTTTTCTGTTATTTGACTCGTTCTCATCTCCACACGTGCTAAATGGAATCCTGATGCTTGCTGATCTGTGACGTGATTAGCTCTTGGCACGCACTGCGCAGTTCAGTTTTTAATTATAATGTATGCTCTCTTCTGAACTACATAATTGATAATTATTATTTTTAATTAATTTAAATAAATATTTTTTAGCAAAAACGAATACTTTAAAAAAGTCAAGACATCGCGGTGTCACGGTGGGAAAGTGATGTCACCGGTGATGGGGCTTAAAACCGGTAACACCGTCAACACCGTCTATCGCGGCAAGCCTAATAAGTAGAGGTCAGATTGAGGTAGTGGTCGGATAGGTAGTGGTCATATAGAGGTCAGATAGGTAGAGGTCAGATAGAGGTCAGATAGAGGTCGAGGTCAGATAGAGGTCAGATAGGTAGTGGTCAGATAGAGGTCATATAGAGGTCGAGGTCAGATAGAGGTCAGATAGAGGTCGAGGTCAGATAGAGGTCAGATAGAGGTAGTGGTCAGATAGAGGTCAGATAGGTAGTGGTCAGATAGAGGTCATATAGAGGTAGTGGTCAGATAGAGGTCAGATAGGTAGTGGTCAGATAGAGGTCATATAGAGGTAGTGGTCAGATAGGTCAGATAGGTAGTGGTTAGCTAGAGGTAGTGGTCAGATAGAGGTCAGATAGGTAGTGGTTAGCTAGACGTAGTGGTCAGATAGAGGTCAGATAGGTAGAGGTCAGATAGAGGTCAGATAGTGGTCAGATAGAGGTCAGATAGGTAGAGGTCAGATAGAGGTAGTGGTCAGATAGAGGTCATTTAGAGGTAGTGGTCAGATAGAGGTCAGATAGGTAGTGGTTAGCTAGAGGTAGTGGTCAGATAGAGGTCAGATAGGTAGTGGTCAGATAGAGGTCATATAGAGGTCGAGGTCAGATAGAGGTCGAGGTCAGATAGAGGTCAGATAGAGGTAGTGGTCAGATAGAGGTCAGATAGGTAGTGGTCAGATAGAGGTCATATAGAGGTAGTGGTCAGATAGAGGTCAGATAGGTAGTGGTCAGATAGAGGTCATATAGAGGTAGTGGTCAGATAGGTCAGATAGGTAGTGGTTAGCTAGAGGTAGTGGTCAGATAGAGGTCAGATAGGTAGTGGTTAGCTAGACGTAGTGGTCAGATAGAGGTCAGATAGGTAGAGGTCAGATAGAGGTCAGATAGAGGTCGAGGTCAGATAGAGGTCAGATAGAGGTAGTGGTCAGATAGAGGTCAGATAGGTAGTGGTCAGATAGAGGTCATATAGGGGCTGTTTACACCTGGCCACTTCATGCGTTTTCTCAGATCGGATAGCTATCTGATTTATCAAAACGATTCCATTTACACCTGGTCACATAAATGTGTTTTTGCAAAACGGATATAAATCCGATCTTCAATTCCCGCGCTATATGCAGATTTAATGGAGTGCACGTCACCGAAAGCAACAGATATGAGCTGCATTTTATTGATCCATCAGCTAATTTCAAAATCAAAGACCGCAATAAGAGGGAGCGGCAACAGCCCTGGTAAGATCATTTCGTTTCTTTACTTTTAATGAAGATGATTAGTGTGTTAAGCGTCTGCGACTTACTTTCACTTTGATTTGCGATAGTTTGCACGTTGGCTTGATGAATAGATGCTCAGCTGCTCATCTGCGGTAATGCGTGTTGCAGTAGCGACGTCATATCTGACTATAACATGACATATAGCCTATATAACACGCTCTCACACGTTTATTTTTTAGCATTTTTGTGAGGAGTGAAATTTACATATGTGGTTTCAACAACCAGATGCATTTACACTTGTCCAGTTTCATCTGGAATGCGGCCCAGACCACCTCCTGAAGTGGTTTGAGTGATCGGATTTAAATCCGTCTCGAATGCGTTTCAGAGGGCATTTACACCTGGTCTTTTCACGATCGGATAGCTATCCGATCACGGAAAACGCAAGAAGTGGCCAGGTGTAAACAGCCCCATAGAGGTAGTGGTCAGATAAAGGTCAGATAGGTAGTGGTTAGCTAGAGGTAGTGGTCAGATAGAGGTCAGATAGGTAGTGGTTAGCTAGAGGTAGTGGTCAGATAGAGGTAATGGTCAGATAGAGATAGTGGTCAGATAGAGGTCAGATAGGTAGAGGTCAGATAGAGATAGTGGTCAGATAGGTAGAGGTCAGATAGAGATAGTGGTCAGATAGAGGTCAGATAGGTAGTGGTCAGATAGAGGTAGTGGTCAGATAGAGGTCATATAGAGGTAGTGGTCAGATAGAGGTCAGATAGGTAGTGGTAAGCTAGAGGTAGTGGTCAGATAGAGGTAATGGTCAGATAGAGATAGTGGTCAGATAGAGGTCAGATAGGTAGAGGTCAGATAGAGGTAGTGGTCAGATAGAGGTCATATAGAGGTAGTGGTCAGATAGAGGTCAGATAGGTAGTGGTCAGATAGAGGTCATATAGAGGTAGTGGTCAGATAGAGGTCAGATAGGTAGTGGTTAGCTAGAGGTAGTGGTCAGATAGAGGTAATGGTCAGATAGAGATAGTGGTCAGATAAAGGTCAGATAGGTAGAGGTCAGATAGAGATACAGGTCAGATAGGTAGAGGTCAGATAGAGATAGTGGTCAGATAGAGGTCAGATAGGTAGTGGTCAGATAGAGGTAGTGGTCAGATAGAGGTCATATAGAGGTAGAGGTCAGATAGGTAGTGGTTAGCTAGAGGTAGTGGTCAGATAGAGGTCAGATAGGTAGTGGTTAGCTAGAGGTAGTGGTCAGATAGAGGTCAGATAGGTAGTGGTTAGCTAGAGGTAGAGGTCAGATAGAGGTAATGGTCAGGTAGAGGTCAGATATAGGTCAGATAGAGGTAGTGGTCAGGTAGAGGTCAGATAGAGGTAGTGGTCAGGTAGAGGTCAGATAGAGGTAGAGGTCCGACAGAGGTCAGATAGAGGTAGTGGTCAGATAGAGGTCAGATAGGTAGTGGTCATATAGAGGTAGTGGTCAGATAGAGGTCAGATAGAGGTCAGATAGGTAGAGGTGAGATAGAGGTCAGATAGGTAGAGGTCAGATAGTGGTCAGATAGAGGTCAGATAGGTAGTGGTCATATAGAGGTAGTGGTCAGATAGAGGTCAGATAGGTAGAGGTCAGATAGAGGTAGTGGTCAGATAGAGGTAGTGGTCAGATAGAGGTCAGATAGAGATAGTGGTCAGATAGAGGTCAGATAGGTAGAGGTCAGATAGAGATAGAGGTCAGATAGAGGTCAGATAGATGTAGAGGTCAGATAGAGATAGTGGTCAGATAGAGGTCAGATAGGTAGTGGTCAGATAGAGGTCAGATAGAGGTCAAATAGAGGTAGAGGTCAGATAGAGGTAGAGGTCAGATAGAGGTAGTGGTCAGATAGAGGTCAGGTAGAGGTCTCCTTGGGTCCTGAGATCTGTACCCGACCCCAATCACTTCGTACCACTGATCTATATAATGACTGCCATCATCGGAAGTGTTCGAGCGGCCATCTTACTATTCCCTACAGAGGGCATCATCGAGTTACAGCCAAACATTGACCTATAAACACCCGATTTGCAGCGTCTCAGTCGCACAGGATTAGTTTTATAACATATGTATGTAAATTAATTGTTCTGATGTTATCTGTAATGTTTATGGTCTTTTCTGAGAGTGTTGAAATCGTTAATGTGGGTGTGTCTACTGCACACTTCCCACACAGGAAACCGGCCGAACACAAAAATAAATGTATATATTTATAAATATGTACGTAATTATGGAGGAAATATTAAACATGAACATATATATCTGCGTTTAGTTGCAGACATTGATTTGAATAACATATATATATATATATACAAGCCTCTGTTACTATATTGGACTATATTGTATTACAATTTCACCATCTTGGAATTCAGTGTTATTTATCTGAATAAGTTATGATGCATGCATTTTATTTCCTGGTTGAGCAACATCTATTTCAGACTCTTAAAGACAGCGCAAATTCTGTTGTGATTGGTCTACTCTGCTCTGATTGGTCAGATGGCCCAGTCTGCTGTGATTGGTCTACTCTGCTCTGATTGGTCATATGGCCCAGTCTGCTGTGATTGGTCTACTCTGATCTGATTGGTCAGATGGCCCAGTCTGCTGTGATTGGTCTACTCTGCTCTGATTGGTCAGATGGCCCAGTCTGCTGTGATTGGTCTACTCTGCTCTGATTGGTCAGATGGCCCAGTCTGCTGTGATTGGTCTACTCTGCTCTGATTGGTCAGATGGCCCAGTCTGCTGTGATTGGTCTACTCTGCTCTGATTGGTCAGATGGCCCAGTCTGCTGTGATTGGTCTACTCTGCTCTGATTGGTCAGATGGCCCAGTCTGCTGTGATTGGTCTACTCTGCTCTGATTGGTCAGATGGCCCAGTCTGTTGTGATTGGTCTACTCTGCTCTGATTGGTCAGATGGCCCAGTCTGTTGTGATTGGTCTACTCTGCTCTGATTGGTCAGATGGCCCAGTCTGTTGTGATTGGTCTACTCTGCTCAGATTGGTCAGATGGCCCAGTCTGCTGTGATTGGTCTACTCTGCTCAGATTGGTCAGATGGACCAGTCTGCTGTGATTGGTCTACTCTGCTCTGATTGGTCAAATGGCCCAGTCTGTTGTGATTGGTCTACTCTGCTCTGATTGGTCAGATGGCCCAGTCTGTTGTGATTGGTCTACTCTACTCTGATTGGTCAGATGGCCCAGTCTGTTGTGATTGGTCTACTCTGCTCTGATTGGTCAGATGGCCCAGTCTGTTGTTATTGGTCTACTCTGCTCTGATTGGTCAGATGACTCAGTCTGTTGTGATTGGTCTACTCTGCTCTGATTGGTCAGATGGCCCAGACTGTTGTGATTGGTCTGCTCTGCTCTGATTAGTCAGACGGCCCAGTCTGTTGTGATTGGTCTACTCTGCTCTGATTGGTCAGATGGCCCAGTCTGTTGTGATTGGTCTACTCTGCTCTGATTGGTCAGATGGCCCAGTCTGCTGTGATTGGTCTACTCTACTCTGATTGGTCAGATGGCCTAGTCTGTTGTGATTGGTCTGCTCTGCTCTGATTAGTCAGACGGCCCAGTCTGTTGTGATTGGTCTACTCTGCTCTGATTGGTCAGATGGCCCAGACTGTTGTGATTGGTCTACTCTGCTCTGATTGGTCAGATGGCCCAGTCTGCTGTGATTGGTCTACTCTACTCTGATTGGTCAGATGGCCCAGTCTGTTGTGATTGGTCTGCTCTGCTCTGATTAGTCAGACGGCCCAGTCTGTTGTGATTGGTCTACTCTGCTCTGATTGGTCAGATGGCCCAGTCTGTTGTGATTGGTCTACTCTGCTCTGATTGGTCAGATGGCCCAGTCTGTTGTGATTGGTCTACTCTGCTCTGATTGGTCAGATGGCCCAGTCTGCTGTGATGGGTCTACTCTGCTCTGATTGGTCAGATGGCCCAGACTGTTGTGATTGGTCTGCTCTGCTCTGATTAGTCAGACGGCCCAGTCTGTTGTGATTGGTCTACTCTGCTCTGATTGGTCAGATGGCCCAGTCTGTTGTGATTGGTCTACTCTGCTCTGATTGGTCAGATGGCCCAGTCTGTTGTGATTGGTCTACTCTGCTCTGATTGGTCAGATGACTCAGTCTGTTGTGATTGGTCTACTCTGCTTTGATTGGTCAGATGGCCCAGACTGTTGTGATTGGTCTGCTCTGCTCTGATTAGTCAGACGGCCCAGTCTGTTGTGATTGGTCTACTCTGCTCTGATTGGTCAGATGGCCCAGTCTGTTGTGATTGGTCTACTCTGCTCTGATTGGTCAGATGGCCCAGTCTGCTGTGATTGGTCTACTCTACTCTGATTGGTCAGATGGCCTAGTCTGTTGTGATTGGTCTGCTCTGCTCTGATTAGTCAGACGGCCCAGTCTGTTGTGATTGGTCTACTCTGCTCTGATTGGTCAGATGGCCCAGACTGTTGTGATTGGTCTACTCTGCTCTGATTGGTCAGATGGCCCAGTCTGCTGTGATTGGTCTACTCTACTCTGATTGGTCAGATGGCCCAGTCTGTTGTGATTGGTCTGCTCTGCTCTGATTAGTCAGACGGCCCAGTCTGTTGTGATTGGTCTACTCTGCTCTGATTGGTCAGATGGCCCAGTCTGTTGTGATTGGTCTACTCTGCTCTGATTGGTCAGATGGCCCAGTCTGTTGTGATTGGTCTACTCTGCTCTGATTGGTCAGATGGCCCAGTCTGCTGTGATGGGTCTACTCTACTCTGATTGGTCAGATGGCCCAGTCTGTTGCGATTGGTCTGCTCTGCTCTGATTGGTCAGATGGCCCAGACTGTTGTGATTGGTCTACTCTGCTCAGATTGGTCAGATGGCCCAGTCTGCTGTGATTGGTCTACTCTGCTCTGATTGGTCAGATGGCCCAGTCTGTTGTGATTGGTCTACTCTGCTCAGATTGGTCAGATGGCCCAGTCTGCTGTGATTGGTCTACTCTGCTCTGATTGGTCAGATGGACCAGTCTGCTGTGATTGGTCTACTCTGCTCTGATTGGTCAGATGGCCCAGTCTGTTGTGATTGGTCTACTCTGCTCTGATTGGTCAGATGGCCCAGTCTGTTGTGATTGGTCTACTCTGCTCTGATTGGTCAGATGACCCAGTCTGTTGTGATTGGTCTACTCTGCTCTGATTGGTCAGATGGCCCAGTCTGTTGTGATTGGTCTACTCTGCTCTGATTGGTCAGATGGCCCAGTCTGTTGTGATTGGTCTACTCTGCTCTGATTGGTCATATGGCTCAGTCTGTTGTGATTGGTCTACTCTGCTCTGATTGGTCAGATGGCCCAGTCTGCTGTGATTGGTCCTGTAAGAGTTCTTTAGGCTGCTCATTTTTGTTCATGGTTTTTAGTTGCAACAGAATGTTTTGCAAAAAGACATAATAAGTATGTTTGGTATCCAAATGTTTGACTTAATTTTTCTTTATCTTATTGGGATTTAAATTAGGAATCGATAAGCAGAATCAGAATCTAAAAAACTTCAAACGATACCCAACCTAGCCCCAGGTCGGACCTCTGGTTTGCATATTGAAGTGGACCCTTGTAGACCTCTACCATGAACATCTGGTCTATGGTGATTACACCACTTGGACAATGACATGATAATACCAGCTAAACGGGGCCATGGCAGGACAAAGCAAAGGTTGAATTGAATCAGCAGAGGGTCCAGTTGCAGGATAGAGACGACGGCTCACATTGGGTTTGATCAGACCTGATGATCAACTCACCAGAGGAACCCGAGGCTGGATGGGGTTTTGACGTTGACTGTCCACTTGTAGGTTGGGCATCCGAGCAGTCGCTGAGACGTTTATCTTGTTTACTCAGTGATAAAACCTTCTGTCTGATCTCATCTTCCGACCGTCTCTGTACAAACCTTCGCTCCACATACTTGGCTTTAATGTAGGCCTCCACCTCATGCCTGTGGGTCACAAGACACAAACGGTGAGCGTTTACAATTGAAAACGCTTTTTTGTTTTCCAATAGGAGATGAATAAAGTAATCTTGGTTTAAAAAAATGGGTTGTCATTACAAATTTCAATTACATTATTTAATGCTTTTGAAATTAGTCTCTTCTGCTCACCAAGGCTGAATTTATTTGATCCAAAATACAGTAAAAAGGCTAATATTATGAAATATTACAATTAAAAATGATTTCTATGTGAATATATTGTTAAACTGTAATTTATTCCTGTGATCAAAGCTGGATTTTTTAGTATCGTTCCTCATTCAGTGTCACATGATCCTTCAGAAATCACTCTAATATGCTGATTTACTGCTCAATAAATGATTATTATCAATGCTGAAAACAGCTGAGCTGCTTTATACTTTTGTGAAAACCACAATTTTTTTTTTACCTGGGATCTCCTGGTTGTGGTTTTCTGGCTCCTAGCTCTTCTCGTCGAGCCTCGTAGATCTGATTTATGACACCATTACCCAGCTCACACATCACCTTAATAAAAAATGAACTGTATTATTTATTCATATATAAGAACTGAAGCAGTTTTCCCCCCCAAATAGCTGGGCCATTTTAGAATGAGAAAAAATCCTCTTGAAAAATGTTCAGTTAAAATACAAGATGGAAGATGTCTCTTTGTCCTATTTGAACAGACAGACGAACTCAGCAAACCTAAAATCTGGTGCAATCACACTCCGCGTGTCTGAAAACGATCTATGAATTCACGTGTACGAGGCAATGAGATGTTTATGAGATGAAAGAGACGGACAGATGTTCATATGCTCTAACAACCATCTGTCGACCCCTATCCATATGTTCATTATGTTGGATTGAAGCCTCGTGTCTCACCTTGAGCAGTTCAGGCTCCCATGTGTCCAGCGTCAGAGATCTGACCTTAGAGAAATGAACTCCAAGACTCCTGACAAACAAAACATATAGTTTATAAAATATATAGCACACTCAAGTAGTGGTAGACCGATATATCTGCAAATCTGTTATTAGTTTTTTTTTATTATTATCGGCATTTACATTTTTCTGTTTGGCTGATGTGATAGCTTTCATTTTGACAGTGTGTGGGACTTTTATTTTGACAGCACAAGAAGTATTTGAATATCTAATGAACATTTAATTTCACAAACGTTGGCAAATTTAGCTGTGAGATCTTCTGAAGTGTGCATTTGTGTCCAGCATAAAAACGTGAACTCTGTGCGTGACGGTCGGTCCATATGAATCGGATGCGGACAGGAGAGTTCAGCTTCACTGGAGACGCACGATCCACAAACTATATTCAGTTGCCCACTGTCATATTCACTGTGTGCTGTGCGTAAAATTAGCGCTGCCTTGGCTAGTATTTATTTTGTTAATGAAAATTATGACAACATTTCTCAAAAAAGAGCTATTTTCCAATGACGAGACGACAATAAGGTTATTAAACGATTAAGCTTTCTCATTAAACTGTGACTGTATTATACGGAAGCCCTGAACCGTAACGTAATAAAAAGAGGAAAAATCTAAAATTACGAGAATAAAGTTGAATTATTTCGACCTTATTCTTGAAATGCTACGACTTTATTATCATAATTTTACATACGTTTTATTTACAGATTTATTTTTCTTTCTTTTTTTTATGCTGCGGTACAGGGCTATCGTATTATCAACATGCAATATCACTCATGAAAAAAGAGAAGCCTAAAATATAGTCCAAAAAATTTAAATAAAATACCAAAATCTCTTAGCCTGGCTAACGCCAGACCCAATTCTCGTTGAGACGTGGTCTGGGAACCACATGTTCATTTTCTCGTGTTTGAGGCGTGGTTTACGAATGCCCAGAGCTGTTTATTGGGTGCTAAGAATGTCTATCAAATGCGCCTGTACGTAGCTCATAGCCAATCGCTTCAATTATACCAGATGACGTATGTAGAGCGACAGAAATGAGACGAGGGAGACGACGATGGCCGATGGGTCAGAGATTTATGTGTAGCCTACACGATGGCGTCTATCTAACGGCCATTTCACACCGCATGCGTGAGCGGCGCGTATTTTTTTCGGCGTGCATGTTAATCAATGAGTGCATTCACACCGGGAGCAGCGCGTGAGCGTCGAGCAGGAGCGGCGCGTGAGCAGCAGTGAAGCGGGGGTTTCGAATCTGTTTTTTGCTGCATTGCTCACGCTAAATTAAAGTGAAAGCACACTTTTGATGGACAAAAATAAATGTGATTTCACACAAAAATTGCCACAAAAAGTTTTAACAAGAACTTGAGTAGGAAAATAAAAGAAAATAAAGACTCTAAAATATTTATAGAAGATTTACCCGGTAAAAACTTGTTTTTAATTATTCAGTTTGGGTGAAAGTTGTGTATTATATAAATAAAAAAAACTAAAGTAAACTAGCCAGAAAATATTATATATAAACGTTCTTTTAGTTCATGTAACGTTAACACACAGACAGCTACAGGCTAGCACAACCCAAATCAAACCCGAGTGTGTGGTTTATTTGTGTGTTTTGTTTTTTATCCGCGGAGTTGCGGTCTTGTAAACATCGAAAGGTAACTTCGCGTCTGCTGCCATGTTTGATCCATAGGTATAAACAAACTGCTTCGGTGTGTCGCATAGACGCGTCATCGTCTTGCTGCTCCCTCCCCGTTCTGTGATTGGTTCCCTAAATGAGGCGAAAATTTGGTCCATGGTATCCAGACTGCCTTTCAGCGTGAATAAAATCGCGCTGCGGGAAGGCAGTATGGGGAAACCCAGACTAAAAATCTCTCCTTATTTTTGTAAAAAACAAAACAAAAAAAAGGCTATACAAGCCTCTACTATGACCATTCATTTTTGCGTTTGCCAGACGTCAAGAGTTTAAATCCCCCAATCAGAGCTGTTCTATTAAAAGTATACATTTTCAGGCTGGTGTTTTTTCTTAATAGTAGAAATCTGCTCAGCCACCCTGCTCTCTGAAATATCAGCATCAGCCATCAAAAAAAAAAAAAAAATTGCTATCGGTCGCCCACTACATTGCAGAATGAGTGCAGTGAAGTGCACCTGTGTATCCCGGAGCACTGTATGCAGAGAGTGATGCCCAGGTTGATGCTGGCCCAGCACGGGTCCGGTTGCCCACAGTCACAGCAGCTGCTGTTCCCAGCGATGGCCATGACCTTCTGCAGCGCACCGTCCCCCTTCAGAGACTTCTCCTTCGCTTCGCCCGCAGAGTCCAGACTGCCGGTAGAGGTGGACGACTTTCTGTCCATCTTCTGCAAACACATGCCACGGTTACACTGAGCTCCTCCAGCTGGGCATGAGTGAGCTGAAGGAAACAGAAAGCGTGGTACCTCTGCGTCCTCTGCTCGGTCCCTGAAGGCGGTGGCGATGCTGTTCTGGACGGCTTTGATCCAGGCCTGCCTGAGCTTCTCAGAGTCCGCTTGCATCATACAGCTCCTTTAAGAGAAAGAACATCACCTATCTGACATACGCACTGCGAAATAATCAGACAAGAATCAGTATGGCCTGAGTGGCCTTTTATTGTGGCCAGCCTAAGGCACACCTGTGCAATGCTGTCTAATCAGCATCTTGATATGCCACACCCGTGAGGGGGATGGATTATCTCGGCAAAGGAGAAGTGCTCACTAACACTAACAATTTAGACAAATTTGTGAACAATATTTGAGAGAAATGGGCCTTTTTTGTACATGGAACAAGTCTTAGATCTTTGAGTTCAGCTCATGAAAAACGGGGGATAAAACAAAAGTGTTGCGTTTATAATTTTGTTCAGTGTATATAGGTAACAAACAGACAATTATTTGCTAAAAGTAGGTGTTCAATAAACATAACTTTGTGTTCCTTGCAAAAATAAAACTGACCAGAGTGATCATAATTGTGTGCTTATACTCACTTGGTTGGAGAAACGACTTCGAAACAAAACCTGCGCTCAATGTCCTCGCAGTGTTTGACGGTGCACAAGCGCAAGTCTTCCACCACAACTGTAGGGTTATCCTGAAACACAACACCCAAACGACTGATAAAAACAGAGTTTCAAAGGTCTTGCTCGTTCTTTTAGATCATCCTAGGATTACCTTAAATTTCTTTTGGTACACTAGCTGATTGTTCTGAATTGAGAACCATCGCCTGCAAAGAAAATGCAATTAGCAACGATGACAATTTCGGCGATGTGTGTGTGTGTGTGTGTGTGTGTGCCTGGAAGACACAGCATGAATGCCTCGTCACTGACCTGTTCCATGTTTTGAAGGCGTTACTGGCCCTCTTGAACAGATATCCCTCCATGACAATCCCATTCTCTGCATCCACATTGTACTCAAGCTTAGTGTCGTCATTTGAGAAGTCCTGAGCAGAAAAGAAAAAAAAAAGAAAAAAAAGGAGTTAATAATATTCAATAAATATACTGTATAAACACTCCACACGCATTTTGGCTGACCACACATGATGCACACCCAATGTTTTGCTAATGGACGATAGATAGACACGGGGTTTCGAACCTACAACCTTCTGGATACCAGTCCAGATCTTTAAAGGATTAGTTCATCAAAAGTCGAAAATTCTGCCATCAATTTCTCAACTTTCATTCTTCCATGGAAAACAAAAGGTGAATTTTTGACATTTCTGAAAAGAGTTTAGAGGTCGTACGAACAAAATAAATGTCAAAAGTCAATGCCATTTGACAGTATTTATGCCGATCATCATTGGTTCTGGAGTGTCATGTGACCAAACGTCAAATCTAAACAAGCCTGTCTAAAAATACCATATTTTATCTGAGCCCTACAGCAGAAGGGGAGAAGTCAGATTGACTAATTTCATGATTCGCTTTTATCCATTCACTTTATTATTGGAAATGAGCAGCATGTGCATTCTTCAAAAGTTCTACTTTTGCAATTGTAAATGTGACCGCTTTAGACTATGCACTTTTTCAGCGAACAAAAAGGCCAATCACTAATACCAATAATTAGATGTACTGTACCAATAGTGAATTCATTTATAGTGCACAGTGAGAAATCATGATAAGAAATCTAGCCACTGGTTCTTGTTCACGTTAAGGATCGTCTAAGATCCCTGCTTCCTGTAGATGTCATGAGAGCTGGGCTGAGCTCAGACTAGTCAAGTCCAGCCCAGTTGAGTTCAGACTAGCAAAGCCCCAGTAACACTAGAGCCATCACCGGATCCTGTGTTTGGTGATGGAGTGAAACTCAAACAGCTGAAGACAGATAAGTGTGACATACTAGTAGATGAGGTAAGTTTACAGCCTGCCAGTATATGAATCCAGTTTGATCTGATACTCTTCCATCACATCTCCAGTAAACAGGGGAGAACAGAACACACGAGTCGTAAGATACACACAATCAGCCGTTTAGCGGACGCTTTATTCAGAGCGAGCTTCAGACACTTAGCCAGTGGGACTTCTGGTTAGTTTCAGAGTGGTTAGCAAAAAGTTTGCTCAGAAATAATTCAGCACCCCTTTTAAGTGTGCCTGCGAACAACATGCTTGAGAATGTAACATTTATTATATTTTTTTAATATTAATTAGAATACTTTTACAATATTTATTAATCCAGGTCAACATTCCAGGTTGTTTTTATACATTTCAATTCTATACATTATACATTACAGTTTTATTATTTGTTTTTTATGAACAAATATGAATTAACAAAATCATATTTATAATGAATTCTGTCAAAAAAAATGATGCCTAATGCATTCATTAATGTTAACAAATGGAACCGTATAGTGAAGTGATACCAAAAATGTTATTGCCTTATATCTATGTTGCAGAAATATATAACTACTGGACTTAAATCCATTAACTCATTTTAAATTAGTTATTTATGTATTGTCGTTCAAACAAACACTCTTAAATAAATATGAATTCATTTAAGAGTTACAAAAATCTGCAGTGTGAATGGAAAGTGCACTGAGACCAGAAGTGGCTAAAATGAGATCTGAATCCACTTTCAAGCCCAGTGACAGTGTGAACGCTAACAGAACTGGGTTCTTCGTCACTTTATGATCCACCTACAGCAATCCTGCTCTACGTGAACTCCAGACCACGACATCCAGTGTGACCCTTCACTTGTGTTCACCGCAGTCCAAGAGAAGTGGACACGACAGCACCAACTGTTATTAAAAAGCAGATTGGGTTTCCATTTCTTTGTAACCTGATCAATCCACGAGCTGATACGTGAGCTTGCCCGCTTAATATATACAGGGTGGCAGGAAAAATGAATGAGGCTCCAGCTGTTCCCGAACCCCCTGCTGTACCTGCACTCCTCCTTTAGCTCGGCTCCTACAGCCACTCAGTGAAGAGCCAGAGCTTTGAGCGAAGTGATGCAAAGATCGTGAGTTTAGATATCATACAGTATATGATGAACATACTTTAAATTCCAAAGTCAACACATTCTTAAGTAGTCCAGCAGTTTTGTTTAAAAACTATTTATTTTATTGAAAATTATATTATTGCAAATAATTATCAACATTAAGTGACACTGGAACATAAATTTGCTTTTTTTTTTTAACGCCACTATATTTTCCTTGATGGTTAAACTACTTGGCTTTTCATTAAATGTAAATTATTCTTCAAAAAGTGTTCATCTTTTCATCATAATGGACATCCGTATTTGTCATTGACCGACTGACGGAATATTCTTTCGAACACAGCAGTGCCAGACCTAAAAACTGATCTCTAGATACATAAAACAGTCATTTACAAAATAAAACCATGTATCTTCAATGCAAACCTGTATTTGTGTATATGACAGTGTCGTTATGAAAATCCCATCTTGATGAACTAATGCTACATTTAAAAAACAAACCACATCAGAACCAGCAAACCAAACAACAGATTACACAAGAAGATGACCAGACGTCTAAATAAAAAAATATCATTAGTTAGGCAAGATGTCACACCAAGCTCTCAAGAGGCAATACGAGACACTCGCATCTATCACCTCTCAAAGTAAACAACAACAACAAACAAAAATAGTAAGATTAACTCACCAGATACCACACATAGTGGAACCTGCTGAAGATCTTCATGCCGAAGAGAGAAGTGTGTGTGTGTGTGTGTTTCATCTAACTTCCAAACATTACTGTGACAGTCTACGATCACCTGAACTGAAATGAGCCTCTACACACTCAACATAATGCGTGTATGAGAATGAACGTCCATGTACATGAAGACTGAGACGGGCATAAGCCTTGGTAACCATTGCTGGCTCCTCCCCTTCAGGAACGCTCTAGTATGTATGTGTGTGTGTGTGTGTGTGATGAATGAATGAATTCATTAACTGTGGCTCATGGGTTGGATTCACCAATCCAAGAAGAGCATTAAACATTTACACTGTCGGCAGTGCACTTTGATACGGCTTTGTTTTGAGTATTTTCTTCCAGAGTGCAGGTACGATAGTGTGATTAACTCTTTATTCTACAGTTACAACCACCATAAACAAACTACAATGTGTTTTTGACAACTTGTCAATGATTATTAAACAGGGCTGTCAATGTTAACACGTGCAATTAATAAAAAATACTTAAAGCGTTAAAATAATTGAACGCAAATAAATGACTGAAGCACGTGAAATTGCGTCATTAATGTAGTTCGCTGATCTCGGGAGTTAGGGTTAGGGTTTATCACACTGAGCATCTACAAGCACCTGGGAACAAGCACAAGCGGACATTTCTATTCGAACCCTTTAACCCGATTTCGCTTCTCTGTTTGTGATCAGGTCATTTTAAGCCGGTCCAAAATGTTCGGTCCAATGATCCAGTATTTAACCCTCAGGTGCTCTTCGTTTCGGAGTCACACTTGTTATCTTCCCGGTCAGAAGTGACCGGACACCTAAAAATGAAACTTTCTCCATCCCAGTAAAACCAATGCAATTTTTTTTTTTTCAATAATATTTTTTCTTTTTAATTTTGTATTTTGAGACAATTTGATGTTACTTATTAATATTTATGCAATATTTATGGTCCATTTTTGCCATTGAAAACAATACCTTTTTTTTTTTTTTTTTTTATACAAAAATTTCTTCAATGTTTGCAGTATTTCATATTAATATAGAGACCTGGCCTTTTAAATCCAATTTTTGAAGTCAGATTAGGGCCATCTGTTGAGAGAAATTAAAATAAAACATGTCGTTTCATAGTGTAACCACTAGATGCCTGTATAGCTCTCTATGGAGAGGCTTGTGAATTCTCTAATAGTTTTTGGACAAAATTACTTACTTTTAAGATGTGGATTTGAATGTGTTTTTTTTTTAATTCTCAAATAATATTTTTTGCCATGTTTTATACATTTTTTTTTAAATAAATTTGATGTGAAGTGTACACGTTTTTGCATTATTACTACAGTCAAACCTGAATACAGAGAAAGCATTTTGTTACAGGTAACATTACCATTCAATAAAAAAAAAATAAAAAAATGAACAGTAATGCTTTTTCACAGCTTATTATTATTTATATTATTATTATTATTATTATTATTATTTTAAAACATTAATTTATTATTTTTAAATATTATATTAATTATGATTTTAATAATTTTAATAATTATTATATTATATATTATATATATATATACACTCACCGGCCACTTTATTAGGTACACCTGTCCAACTGCTCGTTAACACTTAATTTCTAAGCAGCCAATCACATGGCGGCAACTCAGTGCATTTAGGCATGTAGACATGGTCAAGACAATCTCCTGCAGTTCAAACCGAGCATCAGTATGGGGAAGAAAGTTGATTTGAGTGACTTTGAACGTGGCATGATTGTTGGTGCCAGAAGGGCTGGTCTGAGTATTTCAGAAACTGCTAATCTACTGGGATTTTCACGCACAACCATCTCTAGGGTTTACAGAGAATGGTCCGAAAAAGAAAAAACATCCAGTGAGCGGCAGTTCTGTGGGCGGAAATGCCTTGTTGATGCCAGAGGTCAGAGGAGAATGGCCAGACTGGTTCGAGCTGATAGAAGGGCAACAGTGACTGAAATAACCACTCGTTACAACCGAGGTATGCAGCAAAGAATTTGTGAAGCCACAACACGCACAACCTTGAGGCGGATGGGCTACAACAGCAGAAGACCCCACCGGGTACCACTCATCTCCACTACAAATAGGAAAAAGAGGCTACAATTTGCAAGAGCTCACCAAAATTGAACAGTTGAAGACTGGAAAAATGTTGCCTGGTCTGATGAGTCTCGATTTCTGTTGAGACATTCAGATGTTAGAGTCAGAATTTGGCGTAAACAGAATGAGAACATGGAACCATCATGCCTTGTTACCACTGTGCAGGCTGGTGGTGGTGGTGTAATGGTGTGGGGGATGTTTTCCTGGCACACTTTAGGCCCCTTAGTGCCAATTGGGCATCGTTTAAATGCCACGGCCTACCTGAGCATTGTTTCTGACCATGTCCATCCCTTTATGGCCACCATGTACCCATCCTCTGATGGCTACTTCCACCATGTCACAAAGCTCGAATCATTTCAAATTGGTTTCTTGAACATGACAATGAGTTCACTGTACTAAAATGGCCTCCACAGTCACCAGATCTCAACCCAATAGAGCATCTTTGGGATGTGGCGGAACGGGAGATTCGCATCATGGATGTGCAGCCGACAAATCTGCGGCAACTGTGTGATGCCATCATGTCAATATGGACCAAACTCCCTGAGGAATGCTTCCAGCACCTTGTTGAATCTATGCCACGAAGAATTGAGGCAGTTCTGAAGGCAAAAGGGGGTCCAACCCGTTACTAGCATGGGGTACCTAATAAAGTGGCCGGTGAGTGTATATATATATATATATATATATTAATTAAAATTATTAATTATGTTATGTTTTTCACTATTGATGTTTTTTCTGCATTGTGGCCAATTTGTAGAGAATTTGTGTTTGTCAATTTCCCATTCATTTCCTATGGTCGGTCAATTCATTGGTGTGTATGTGTATAAAAAGTGTGTGTGTGTGTGTGTGTGAGTGAGTGTGTCTGTTTTGCACTCTTGGTGTTTTAGAGTGTCACCCCTTCATTGTTGAGCACTTTTTTTCTGCATCGTGGCCAATTTGTAGATTGTACACACAAAAATTCTTAAAGTTTTTGTGTTTTTGTCAATTTCCCATTCATTTCCTATGGTCGGTCATTTTTGACCGAAGAGCACAAGTGTGACTATTTTTTTTTACGACCACTTAGCATGCTCGGATCATGACCTCAATTTTTTTGTGTGTTCACATACCCAATGCCATAAAAGTCACCAAGTTTCGTAACATTCCGATGAAGCTGTGATTTTTAAAAATTTAAAACAGAAATTTTTCGGTCAGAAATGACCGAAGAGCACCTGAGGGTTAAGCGAACCCATTCAAACAATCAGTCCAAAACAGCGCTAATGTAAAGCAAACCAGGCTTATACATCAGAGATGGCAGAGAGAATAGAGGCTCACACTGTGTTATCAGTGAATTATTCATTCAGTGTGTGTTTCGCTTCAAAACACAAGCTCGTCATATTCTGTGGTGTTTCTGAAGAGCACGAGACCTCACACACCGCTGTATGGCCAGATGATACACACACACTACGTTTCTCTGCTGGATAGAGCAAAGGTTTTGATGGATGAGGATTGAAATCAAGGTAAAGTCCATTGCAGTGGCGTACAGGAGTCGTACAGTAAGCACGCGCGAGTCCGTTATTACAGATGCACAAACAAACCTCTCGACGCACTGATGATCACACATCGCACTTATGGTCGTTTCCAGACACACATTCAGGATAATGGTTTGATCGGTCATGTGTATGTTGCTGTGTTTAGTAATTCTGAATGGATCCGTGTTCAGTATCACAACTTGACATGTCTAAAACGTAAACAAGCTCTTTGCTGTTGCACTGTACACTGAATTCTGGAAAGTTTTGTTCTGTAATGTTTTAATCTGATCTTGCTGGGTATAGCAGATAAATAACAAAATAACGCGTTAAACAAGATAAATGATGTCTGCTTAATTCCAAGAGGAGTACGCGATTAATCGCGACTAATCGCACAAATTGGTGCGATTAATCGCGACTAAAATGTGAGTCTATTGACAGCCCTAGCATTAAATAAATTTTTTTTTGATAAAATAATACTTGTATTTGATAACATGAGCTACTGAAGTAAAACCACATGTCTAATAACCATAATTGACGCAAGTAACACGATTCATGCAGCATTCAGAAGGAGAAGACAGAGGGGACAGACTCACCTGCAGTGTGGCCTCATATGAGCAGTCAGAAAAGAAGAGAGAGCACGTTAACAACTGCTGATACAGCGGATATGAGAGAGAGAGAGGGGAGGAAAACAAATATAGAGAGATCGAGTCACACTTGACATGAGATCAAGGTCACGCTGGATTGTGGCATGAGCAATATGGCATGATAGATGAACATAAGAACCTTCAGGTCGTAAATGACGTAAATCTATAAATCTCGTAAAAATATAGACATTAAAAATGGCATTTTTCATTTTTTTTCCAATTCTGATACACTTTAATTGAGCTTAGTGCATCTTAAGGCGCAGTCACATTAGCAACATTTAGGTAAAACCTTCACAAGAAAAGTAGGTCCATACTGTAGAGAAGCATGAAACTCCAAACCAAGTTGCTTCTAAAGGCCAATGTGGTGAAAACTGAACCCAATATCGAAATCCACGTGGCAAGACTTTTTTTGAGAAAATTTTATGAGGGACTTCCATTGGCAAAAAGTTTTTAAATTGCTCTGGTAATGAAACTGATAGAGGAATAATGAAACTATAGTGGAATTGGTATTGAGATTTTCATATCCTGATGACCCAACAACTACCCAGAACGCACTTACACATGCCATGTGTGAGGATTCAGTTCAAATCTCCCATCATGCTCGTGGTAATACCGAAAGATGAACAGCTCTACTGTAAAAACAGCAGCTTTATTACTTTGAGTGTTTATTCATATACCCGAGGACAGGATATCAGGCAAAAGCTTTGCTTTGTGTACCGTACTTTAAACCATTTCTAAACCCAAAGAAAGAAGAGAAGAGAAGAGAAGGATGTTCTGTTTCAAAATGCATCAACAACATGATTGTGTTGCTAGTTCTCATTGGTTAAACAACTATTTTCTGATTGGCCCTGTATTGTGTGAGATCTGAGGTGTTTGGAGAAGCTCTTGTACCTTCTGTTGAATAGTTGAGTGTTTCGTCTCCATATCCTTCCTCTCTTTGGCCGAATCCATAACCAGCTGATCCAGCTGAAAGACAGACATTCAAAAATGAAAACCGATATTCTTATGCGCTAAAACAGGAAGAGAAATGAGGAGTCAGAGTTGGATATGCAGGTGCATATTCCACTTTAGAGATTCTGCTCGATTAAAAACAGTCTATAAGGCAAAGAATGTTTTCATGTGTTAAACAGAATAGTTTCAAGGCACAGAGTGAGACACCGCCTTCACACAACGCTACTGAACTACATAAAGCTGGAATTAGACGCATGGCTGCCCATGAGAAGCCACTTTAAACACGAAGTCATGTGGTGTAAAGATGGTCTGGTTTCCTACATCTGCATGGAAGACCACTCTTGCCTCATTATTTTCCCATATTCTGATGATGATGATGATGATGTAACAATGCACTGCTGCACCGGCACTACACACAGCTTAACTGTAAAACATAGACATTCATAACCTTTCCAATGGCCAAATCTACACTCATTGCCTCTAAAGGGAATATCCCACTACACTGCTCTTCTAAGCTGTCTTTATATATTGTTGGATACTACTATTATCACGTATAACTACCTCTACAACTGATGCGTGTAAAACTGGTGACTTCAGACTGATTTCACAGTTTATTTTCCACAGATTAGCATTCACTTCCTATCCAACTGCCTCATCAGATCCGCAGAAGATCACATAGAGCATCTGTGAAGACTCGTGTAGAAAGTATTAAAAAATAAAATAAATGTGAAATTTATGGAAAATAAAACTACTAACCAATTCAGTGACTCACTCGTCAGATAAACCTCCAAATATTTACATGCTATATACTAATAGCGAGCAATTTATTAATATTACCCCTGGTTGAGAATCACGGATGAAAACTAAAAAGCCTTTTGGAGATATATATATATATATATATATATGTGTGTGTGTGTGTGTGGTTCTCAACCAGGGGGCCTCATGATTTAAAATACCAAGAAATTCAGATTTTTCTTATTTTAATTAATTCCCTATGACAACTGTTTGTTTCTTTTGAATAACCCGAATTATTGGATAACTTGGATATACAGTATGAGGAAGTCTAATTTAAAAAGTGTGCTTTCTAGACATGTAAACTCCATCGACAGATTTATAATTAATATACATTTTTATAACTACCGTATGTTAAACTCTAAAACATTTTATGGGTGTTAAAAATCGTTATCTAGTAGATCACGAATGACTGGAAAAGACACGTAAATTCAGTGATTAAAAAGAGTAGGAAGCATGAAGAATTATAATTATTTTACTTGCTTATTTTAATCAATTTTATAATTATTCTCTTGGTGATCTGATAAAGAGGCTCATGGTTATTATCAGGAACACGTTCAAATTACTTGCTTTTAATTTTGTGCATGCAAAAACTTGTCAACATTTAGGAACTAGCAAAGTGTAAGGGTTCAAATCGCTAACCCCAAGCGAAACCTGCTCTAGAAAACACCACTGTGTGTCTTTTCTATAGGGGAAGTGGATGACAGGAAGTGACCTGTAATGGGATCTTAGCACTCTTTATCTGCTCAGATCCAGCAAGCGATCATCCATCACCCAGTATCATGCATGGATCCACGTCACGTGTGGTATTTCGGGCGAGCGCTTTGTTTTGATCCGCCAGGAAAGAGGCGGGCAGATGCAGCGCTGATAATATCAGATGGGAAATGTTTTTCTCCGTCGCAGTCATAAAGTTTCCACTCTCGATAGGTGTTTGACAGAGACTGACCACCTGACCAATCCTGTGAGCATGAATCAACCATGAGCTGCATTAAAGCAATGTGACTGAAAGCTATACAACGATGATGCTATTGTTTCATTATGAAAATGCATATTGTAAATGTACATAATAACTCCAGATCCATCAATAGAAAGGTTCCATCTCCATATTTCAGTACAGCATCAACAAATGATAAAAAAATACTCACTGACACTTATAAAACACGCCATTAGTATTATAATCATGTAGTTTACTTTTTGTTTTCCATATTTTGGGTCACTGTATAATTCCCCTACTTCCATTTTTGTTATTTCCTAGAATGTGAAAAATAAGTAAAAAAGAGCAGATGTGTCTAGACTGAGATGAGAATATCCAGACACACACACACCTGAGTGCAGCTCCTCCAGACCTCTCGACAGAAGCGCTCCACGCTCTCGAGCTTCATGATGTCCGACACTAACCCTGATAGCCTTGTGCTGTGTAACTCACGTCCACTCTGATCTAAACGGCCTCATACAGACTCAATTTAACTCCCAGACTGGGAAAACCCTGTAATCACCCAGTTCAAGTTCCTGTTTCCAGTGTAACAACAGCCAATCACAAATCTCAAGAAGCCCATCTCATCCCTGCCCACAGCAAACAAGGATTCACGCGCTCCTCATCACACCGGGGTGAAAGTGAAAACACTGGTTTGAGACAGACAGACAGACACAGACAGACAGACAGACACAGACAGACAGACAGACAGACAGACAGACAGACAGACAGACAGACAGACAGACAGACAGACAGACAGACAGACAGACAGACAGACAGACAGACAGACAGACAGACAGACAGACAGACAGACAGACAGACAGACAGACAGACAGACAGACAGACAGACAGACAGACAGATAGATAGATAGATAGATAGATAGATAGATAGATAGATAGATAGACAGACATGCGTGTATGGAAGTTTGTCTAGTATTTATGGATAGTATGTATGGGCATTAGGGGTGTAACGGTTCACAAAATTCACAGTTCGGTTCGGTACGTTTCGGATACAGCGAAAAGAAAGAAATGCCAGAGAAATTTCCTTGATTTAATTTTTTTTATTATATTTTTATTAAAACTAACATCATAAAGTATGATATGTTTTAACTTTGAGCAATGATGGAGCTATACTTGACTTTTCTTAGGAGCTTATAAAACAAAACAGCTCCTTGGACAAAATGAAATGTAATATTGTAGTAGTTATAAACAAAGGTTTATTTTAGTTCAGATTAACATTTGAGGGCAGCAATTGTATTCATAATGTCAAAAAATTAAACCGACGTGATGTTACTTGAAAGCATTATAGCCGACTATTCCTGCCACACTCCCATGGCTACAGTTAGTAGAGTAACTACAGTAAACTCATGGTGAATGTGCTGATCTGTGGACACTGGATAGTTCATTCATGGCACAATGTTTCTTCCTGGTTTCCACGTCAGCGCTGTTTGATCCGTTAATAACGTAGAAATGTGAATGTTTCTCACTAGATCTCGCAGCGATGTTATTACTTCAGTGGCGAACTCAAATGTTTTCTTCACTGGATTTGGCTGTGTAGTAACGGTGCTGATGATCAAGATCGGCTCGCGCTGCATTGGTCCAAACTGATAAACTGTCCATCAACCACACAATAACGAGTGGTTTCGTTCCGCTTACATTACATTTGCCAATTGATGTTGGGCAATGTTGTGGTCACACCAGCCTCTCTTACATTATGAGCGTGCTTACCACGCACGACGCGCCTACATTTGAAATAACGAAATTTTGGTCGGCAGGAAAAATGGTCCAACGAACCGTTCGGTTCAAAAATGCGTACCGAAAACCGAACCGAAAGCCTCGTACCGAACGGTTCAATACGTATTTGTGTATCGTTACACCCCAATAGGCATGTATGTTTAGTATGGATATATGTATGGATAGTACAGACAGACGGATAGATGACAGATGCATGATGTACCTGTCCAGTCAGGTGCTTCATAAGGGGTTGTAGTTCACTGAACAGATCATAGCCCTGGTGGAAGAAGGTCAGGTGGGCGTACATGAACGACAGCATCTGTGCAACACACAAGAGTTTCAGCAACAGCTCACACACACACGATCATCTGCAGACACACATCATGAGTGCGAATACTGTACCGATTTGAGGATTTCTGATCGCCTCTTCGACTGGAGCACATTAATCTGAAATAAAGAAATGAAGAAAGGTTATACTTTATTTTACGGTGCCATTGTTACATTGTACATACTCAAATAAGTACTGAGTAATATTAATTTACCACATGATAGAGTTACGGTTAGGGTTTGGTTTAGGGTTAGTTACTTGTAATAAAGCATAATGTACTGTTATTACTATAGTAAGTGCATGTAGGAACTACGTCACATTAAAATAAAGTGTTACCTAAAAATTCCCTACTTAAAAAACAGGTAGTTTTTATTGGCATCAAGTTTTCAAAACAAAAGTAAAACAATAAAGACATGAGGCCAACAAAAGAATTGGGGATTTCCCACAGAAGGGAAGTGTTAATATTGTCAACAAAATTACTGACAAAAATTGATGTTTTTGATTTTGTCTTTTATAATTGTTTAATATATTTATATATATATATTTTTTTTTTTACATTTGGTAATGTTTGGTGACGTGTCACTTTACATGTTTTACTCTGAAATATTCAGTGACTACAATATATGCAATTTCGGCCACGGCAAAAATATTAAATATTACACGACAAACAAAAACAAAAACTGTAAAAGTGCACACCGGCAACAACCACAGCTTCAAGAATGACACATTACTATTAAATGTAAGACATCTGCTTCCTGAAGTCCTAAACTGCACATCCTTTATTCTTTCTCAACAGAAACACGGCGTTCTCTCTCTGTGCCACCAGGTGGCGCTCTTCTCTCCGCACTGACAAAACAAGCCCGTTAAAAGCCCTCGCTGGAGGGATTTACTGCAGTTTCCAGGCGGATGCACATCGCTCTCAGAGAAAGGTCAACCTGCGGTAGTTGAGATACGAGCCTGACCCTGTGAAGGGGAACCATCTAAACTGAGCATGTGTGGTCACTGCAGAACACAGGAAGGGCCGTCAGGGAACAGATGTATTGTGTAACATCAACCGATCAAGTTGCTTTCTCTTTCAAACACTGCTTTACTCCACAAGCTGATTTCATTATACCACGCAAACCCATACACACTATGATCTCCAGTAAACCTGTATTATTATTAATATGATATTTATGTGTTTGTTTTGTGACTATGCTGTAATGGCACAAGAATTTGTACAAAGGTGGAGGGAATTAGCGGAGTTTATACAGGGGCCGCAAAGATTCAAGACTACAAAAAACCTTTGCAGAATATAACAAAAAATGACCAACTAGACTAGTATGAGTAGAAAATATGGTATATAATTATGTATAAAGTCTTATCGTCCACCAGACAAAACTCATAAGTCTGTTTGCTTTGAAAAGCAGCTCGTACAAAACAGGTTTCACTTTATTTTGATGGTCCCTTTTGATCATTCTGTTGACTATAAGTAGCTTTGCAACTACAAACTTATTCTAACCCTAACCGTACCAGTCTACTAATACTCTACTAACACTCTAATGAGAGTTCATAGACATGTAGATGCAACGATACAGTACTTATAGTCAACAGAAGGTGCTAAGGGGCCATCAAAATACAGTGAAAACAAAAAACATAAAACAAAACACACAAAATAAAACTAAACAAAAACAAAACACTACACACAATAAAACAAAACAAAAAACAAAACACACAAAATAAAACAAAACACAAAAACAAAACTAAAAAAACTAAAAACAAACCCCACAAAACAAAAGAAAACAAAACACAAAAGAAAAGAAAATAAAACACCACAAAACAAAAAAACTAAAAGGCAAAAAATGTTTACCTAAAAACAAAAAATGGGGTAAATAAATTAAATACAATTGTAAAAAGTGTAGCTTAAAAAAATGAAGTCTGGCAAAAAAAATAATAATAATAATAAAATACAACAAATATTAGCTTAAAAATGTCCATATTTTCCCTCCATTTTGTATTTTGTCAAAGTCTGTTTTGCTTTGAAAAGTGGTAGATAACAAAACACTAAATAAAGCAATTTTGTTTTATCTATAAACAAAACCAAAACTAAAATTAATTTAATTTAACTAAAAAGTTCAGCTTAAAAAAGTCTGACAAAACAAATAAAAAAAGCAGACCTAAAAACTAATAAATAAATAACATACACATTTTTGGTAAACTGTTTTTTGTATTTCATTTTGTTTTATTGTAAAAAATGTCAACTGTTAAAAACTGCATGTAGGCAGTAAACACTACGGTGATGGATCAACACAGATCTGCATCGTGTGTGTGTGTGTGTGTGTGTGTGTGAGGTCTCTCACCTGCAGCACGTAGTCCAGGACGATGTGCCGGAAACACTTGCGCGTGGCGATGAGGATGTTGGTGGCCTCCTCCACCTCGTGCGGTTTGTTCCGGGGCGCCTGGGCATTTTTGGACAGCGCTGTGTCTTTCTCCTCGCTCACTTTGTCAAACTGTTTCTTAGCTTCTTTAAACTTCCGAAGGTCCCTGCGCACAGAAACACCAGTCCTTACATGTGCACTCAGCGATCGCCAGTATAACCCACACCAGGAGTGAGTCTGGCACATGCAGAGGGTCACAGTCTGCACTCACACTGGACCCGGAGGTGCAAATGCATTTGATTACAAATACAATAATAACAGTAAAATTGTGAAATATTATCACATCTATGAGAATACATGTTAAAGTGTAATTTAATCCTGTGATCAAAGCTGTATTTCAGCATCATTACTCCAGTCTTCAGTGTCACATGATCCTTCAGAAATCACTCTAATATGAGGATCTGATGCTCAGGAAACATTTATGATTATTATCAATGCTGAAACCAGTTGTGCTGCTTCATATTTATGTGGAAACTGATACTTTGTTTTCAGGATTATTTAATGAATAGAAAGTTCAAAAATCACCATTTATTTGACGAATACTTTTTTGTAACAATGTAAAAGTATTTTGGCCAATTTAGTCCTTGTTGAATAAAAAAAAAAAAAAAAAAAAATTACATTGTCCGATATGTGTATGCAAATATTACATTTTATTCATAATTTAATTTTCACAAAACCATAGAATCAACTAAATTTAGTATTTAGTATATAAATAACTCATTACTCTAGATTTTGGCATCAGCTTAAGAAAAAAACAGTCAACTGCTAATTAAAATATATATATATATATATATATATATATTAATAACTTAAGTAATGATTAAGAGATTAGAATCATGTAAAATGATACGCCAACGGTGATACTCACTCTCGCACAAACGCCAGGAGTTGAGATTTGATGGATCGCTGCGCTTGGTCAAATAAAATCTGCAAAAAGTACAAAATGCAATAATAAATCACCATAAAAAAATTAAGCCTGTCATTATTTTCATTACAAACCCCCTTATTTTCTTTCCAGGTTCTCATTACTGTAATGCAGCAAATACAGCTTACAGTCTTTTAAATATATCATAAATTATGCCATTAAATTATGAAATAAATGTTTAAAAAATAAAGGTTGTCAAAGTATTAAAAGAATTACAAACAATTCATCAAGTGTTTGTTGTTTTTGCATAACACATTCAGTCTTTTACAAAGAAAACCAAATATGTTTTTTCGTAGCACGTTAATATCAAAGCAACTGCTATCGTCACATCAATATTTAATATATGAACTACAAGCACATTTCCAAAAAAATGGCTCTAAAAATAAAGTCATATATGTTAGTACGTCTTTGTAAGGTTTTTAACACAGTGAGCAACCAATTCAAAGTATACTTTTATCACATATTTTTTGGCATATTTCAACTTTAAAGGCATAAATTGTGTGTGTTTAGAGACATTCGAAGCCAGTGCCAACCGGATCAAGCGTGTCATGGCTGCATTTGTGCTTCAGAGATCATGTGCTTAGTTCAAACTCATGAGGACTTTAACCACAAGTCAGCTGACCTCAGCACTGACTCAGAGTCCCAGTCTAACACACACACCAGCACTGTCCAGCCATGAAGATCACAGAATGATCCTTTATATTATAGGAATAAAAAAGGCACAAGAACGTGAACGCGAGGCACAAGCCTGACTTCACAGGACATAACGCGTTGCCACAAGGGGCGCTATTGCAGGCGTGATCATAAATCGCTGTCTTCCATGGTCAGTTTTAGGTGAAAATAATGAAGAATCAGTTTGAAGATTAAAGATAACTTCTAAAAACACTCGTTTATAACGGTTACAGACAGCTCATAACTGAATCAGTAGTGTGACCGCAACAGTTGCAGACTGCTGTCGCATGTCTAGTGTTCTCCTGATGTCAAAATCCTCATCTCAGCACATTCAAGCTTCGCATTTCGAGAAAGAGAAGAAGAAGTCATAAACAATAATGCAATAGGGCAGACGCTCTCCGCCCAGATTGTCTCACCGTGTGGTAGTTGATCATCTCTTGAAGATTCTCTGCAAACGTGGTGAGACTGGACTGTGGAGAGATCACCAGCAAACATACAAGAACACAAACACTCGGGTTATTCATCACAACTGCACAAAACACCACGCAGAATCCCGCAGAACTGGGTCCGAGGTACACAAAACAAAACACTAAATGTTTACCTCAAAATAAAATGAAGTAAATAATAATAAAAAAAAAGGTTAGCTTAAAAATGTATTCATAATACCATCATATTCGCCATGTTTTCCCTAGAAGTTCTCAATTTGACTTTTTGTATTTCATGTTTTACATAAAAAAATCTGACAGTAAATATATTATACTGTACTGTTATACAGTAATGCATCATTAGTCAGTATAAAAGCAGTACAACAAATACTATAATGATGTATGAATGCTATATAATTTTAACGTGTGTTTTTTATTTTTCTATATATATATATATATATATATACACACACACACAAACACACAGCCCCATTTATCGTGTGTTTTTTTATTTTTGGGGGGGCATAACTGATAGTCAAACAAAAGGATGGTACCGGTAAATAATATCCCCCCAAAAAAAGAGAAAAAAAAAAGAGATGCATTTCATGAATATCTTGTACATGTTGCTGGAGGTTTGTTGACCCTTAATGATGGAATTGTAGAGGCAATACAAAAACACACACACACACACACACACACACACTGGTATTTACCTAGGCTACATGCACAAGGAAATAGACTGGTATGTTTTTATCGTACAATGGATCGTTCACAATGGACATTTCAAAGCAGCAGGAAAGTAGATCTGCAGAGACTAGGGATGCTGGCTTGCAGCCAATGTTTGTATGAGAGCACAAACTAAAAATGCTTTCAATGACCCGTAAATAAAGCGCAGTCTTGAAATCAAACCGGACGGGCAGGGAAACTCTCGAGGCGTTTGCTCCGGGGACGCGTTCATGCGTCCGGCTCCGGGTGTTTCTGACTCTGAAAGCCACTGATTGGCTGTTACGCACTCACCTCAATGACATCATCTTTGGCGGACTGCTGTGCTAACTCCCGAATCCCGTTCACAAACTGCTTGTTGGCCGTGTTGTACGCCTTTCCAGCGTCTATCATCCCGATGCAGAGTTTCACCAGCTACACACGGAGGAGACACAAATATGTACATTGATATTGAAATATATATAGTAAAAATGAATATAAAATATACATTTATAGTATAGAAATATACAAATATAAGATTAAAGGTATTTGGGATTCGTTAGACTTTTGCCTGGCAAACTGTAAAACAAGCCAGATTGAACTGGTTGGTGCTTTATTTTTGTACTTTTTTGTTATTGGTCAAAAAACAACAACAACAAAACACAAAACAAGACACAAAAACTAAACAACTAAACACAACGACAAAACAAAAACTAAAAAACTAAACACAACGACAAACAAAAACTAAACAACTAAACACAACGACAAAACAAAAACTAAACAACTAAACACAACGACAAAACAAAAACTAAACAACTAAACACAACGACAAACAAAAACTAAACAATTAAACACAACGACAAACAAAAACTAAACAACTAAACACAACGACAAAACAAAAACTAAACAACTAAACACAACGACAAAACAAAAACTAAACAACTAAACACAACGACAAAACAAAAACTAAACAACTAAACACAACGACAAACAAAAACTAAACAACTAAACACAACGACAAAACAAAAACTAAACAACTAAACACAACGACAAAACAAAAATTAAACAACTAAACACAACGACAAACAAAAACTAAACAACTAAACACAACGACAAACAAAAACTAAACAACTAAACACAACGACAAAACAAAAACTAAACAACTAAACACAACGACAAACAAAAACTAAACAACTAAACACAACGACAAACAAAAACTAAACAACTAAACACAACGACAAACAAAAACTAAACAACTAAACACAACGACAAAACAAAAACTAAACAACTAAACACAACGACAAACAAAAACTAAACAACTAAACACAACGACAAAACAAAAACTAAACAATTAAACACAACGACAAACAAAAACTAAACAACTAAACACAACGACAAAACAAAAACTAAACAACTAAACACAACGACAAACAAAAACTAAACAACTAAACACAACGACAAAACAAAAACTAAACAACTAAACACAACGACAAACAAAAACTAAACAACTAAACACAACGACAAAACAAAAACTAAACAACTAAACACAACGACAAACAAAAACTAAACAACTAAACACAACGACAAAACAAAAACTAAACAATTAAACACAACGACAAACAAAAACTAAACAACTAAACACAACGACAAAACAAAAACTAAACAACTAAACACAACGACAAACAAAAACTAAACAACTAAACACAACGACAAAACAAAAACTAAACAACTAAACACAACGACAAAACAAAAACTAAACAACTAAACACAACGACAAACAAAAACTAAACAACTAAACACAACGACAAAACAAAAACTAAACAACTAAACACAACGACAAACAAAAACTAAACAACTAAACACAACGACAAACAAAAACTAAACAACTAAACACAACGACAAAACAAAAACTAAAAAACTAAACACAACGACAAAACAAAAACTAAACAACTAAACACAACGACAAACAAAAACTAAACAACTAAACACAACGACAAAACAAAAACTAAACAACTAAACACAACGACAAACAAAAACTAAACAACTAAACACAACGACAAAACAAAAACTAAACAACTAAACACAACGACAAACAAAAACTAAACAACTAAACACAACGACAAAACAAAAACTAAACAACTAAACACAACGACAAAACAAAAACTAAACAATTAAACACAACGACAAACAAAAACTAAACAACTAAACACAACGACAAAACAAAAACTAAACAACTAAACACAACGACAAAACAAAAACTAAACAACTAAACACAACGACAAAACAAAAACTAAACAACTAAACACAACGACAAAACAAAAACTAAACAATTAAACAACGACAAAACAAAAACTAAACAATTAAACACAACGACAAAACAAAAACTAAACAATTAAACACAACGACAAAACAAAAACTAAAAAACTAAACACAATGACAAAATGTGACAATAAAAAAATACAATAAAACATTACGACAAAAACAAAGCAAAACAACAAAAACAAAACAATAAAACAACATAACAAAACAACATAATGACAAAAAACACAAAACAACGTGACGACAAAAACAACATCAAAGGATCAAAGAATCCTGAAAAAAAATTAACATAACTTCAACATTGATAATAATAATACTAAACGTTTCTTGATCATCAAATCATCCTATTTCCCCGTATTGTTCATCAAATAAATGCAGCCTTGGTGAGCTGAAGAGACTTTTATTTTAATTAGAGATTTTTAAAACATTAAAAATCGTACCGATCCCAAATTTTGAACGGCAGTGTTTGTATAATTTGTCCGGATTATAGTTGATAAACCTATAAAACAGAAATTGCGTTTGTCAAAATATGAAAATAACACATTAGTGTTGACTGTAAGAAAAGCTTGGGCATCAGCTCCTCCTCCAGAGCTCGTATCCTTCCTCAGAGAGAGAGAGAGAGAGGAAGTGAGCGGCCTGAGTCACTCGGCCGAGCGGCGCTGGGTGGGTCTGATATCTGAGCGCTCGCTCCCGGTCCCGGATCCTGCTTTCACAGCGCTCGACAGGGACTGCAGCAGGAGAGAGCCTCTCGCTTACAGCCAACATTTAATACTGACATGCTGTTTCTTTTCTCCTCAGATCCAATCTAGCACTAGACTATGGAGGCTTGTCTCCGCCACAGAAAAATAAATATATAAAAAAAAAGGTAATTGCGACTTTTTAATTTCACAATTCTGACTTTTTATCTCAGAATTGCGTGAAATAAAGTCGCAATTGTGTTATAAAGTCAGAATTGTGTGATATCAACTTGCAATTGGGAGATATAAAGTCACAAATGCATGTTATAAAGTCAGAATTGTGTGATATAAAGTCAGAATTGTGTGATATAAACTCGCAATTGTGTTATAATGTCAGAATTGTGTTATAAAGTCAGAATTGTGTGATATTAACTCGCAATTGTGTTATAAAGTCAGAATTGTGTGATATAAACTCGCAATTGTGTTATAAAGTCAGAATTGTGTGTTATAAAGTCGCAATTGTGAGTTATAAAGTCAGAATTGTGTGATATCAACTCGCAATTGTGAGACATAAACTTGCAATTCTGAGGTTTTTCCTCAGAATTGTGATTATTTCTCGCAATTCTGACTTTATAACTCACAATTCTGACTTTATAACACACAATTCTGACATTATAACACACAATTCTGACTTTATATCACGCAATTCTGACTTTATAACACAATTGCGAGTTAATATCACACAATTCTGACTTTATAACACAATTCTGACTTTATATCACGCAATTCTGACTTTATATCACGCAATTGCGACTTTATAACTTCCAATTGGGAGATATAAAGTCACAAATGCATGTTATAAAGTCAGAATTGTGTGATATAAAGTCAGAATTGTGTGATATAAACTCGCAATTGTGTTATAAAGTCAGAATTGTGAGACATAAACTTGCAATTCTGAGGTTTTTCCTCAGAATTGTGATTATTTCTCGCAATTCTGACTTTAAAACACGCAATTGGGAGAAAAAAAGTCAGAATTGTGTGATATTAACTCGCAATTGTGTTATAAAGTCAGAATTGCGTGATATAAAGTCAGAATTGTGTGATATAAAGTCAGAATTGTGTGATATAATGTCAGAATTGTGTTATAAAGTCAGAATTGTGTGATATTAACTCGCAATTGTGTTATAAAGTCAGAATTGTGAGACATAAACTTGCAATTCTGAGGTTTTTCCTCAGAATTGTGATTATTTCTCGCAATTCTGACTTTAAAACACGCAATTGGGAGATAAAAAGTCAGAATTACATGATATAAAGTCGCAATTGCATGTTATAAAGTCAGAATTGTGAGATATAAACTTGCAATTCTGAGGAAAAGAGTTGTAATTATCTTTTTAAATGTTTTATTCTGTGGCGGAAGCAAGCTAGACTGATGTTCGGACATTAGAACGGATTTGTCCACATCGTGCCGGTTCATCAGGTTTCCTTCATGCCAGTTTGAGTGCGGATCACATTAAAGCAAAAGATGGTCCTCGTACCATCGCAAAGCATTTTTACAAGAGGTTCCCAACTCAATTGTGTAGGAAACGCAGGTCATGTTCGCTGGCATCAGCTGAGCACTACTCTGAGGAATACCTTGTCTAGTTTGGACTCCAGCTCACAGACATCTCCCTCCACCTCCTCGATCGTCGCCCTGTTGAGGACAGAACAAAACTTCAGTCATATCAGAAATGGCACAGGCCAGGCTAAACTGTCTTAAAGGTACAGAAGCACAAACAGCCCACGACTAACATTATAAGTGACCGTCAGGACCAAACTAAATGCTACAATAATGTTAAAGATGATCCCTAGGCATATTAGCATGAAAACAGAATGGCCACCAGCTAAAGGAAACCGTCCGGTTTAGCTGATTAGCCAATAAATGAATGCAATATGTACACATCGGCTCACTTCAATGAACACACAGCTCTAGTTTGATCTAAAACAGCTTCTTCTGGTTCCTGTCTGCAATTGTAACTCTGCCTAGCTTTGTTTTCAATCTCTTTTATTCAACTACCCCTTCGTTGTTTAAATAGCTGAATACAACTTCATTATTATCATATATCTGATATTATCTATTAAATGAATCTAACGTTGCTTGCTTTTTTATGTAAACTGCTTTAGCTAGCACACAGTGTCGTTAGCATTATGCTAGCCTGTTAGCTTGTCATTTGTGTTTACCGTCAAGCTAATATTTTCAAAGTTAGATACAAGTTACACTACACTGAACAGACTTGAGCAGAATTTGTGTAATATTTGATAAAGTTTACATAATGTATTGTTATTTTCCTGTTTATTAGTGTGAAGCTGCTCTGAATAAAGCAAGCGCTATATTGTGTAAAGTTGACTTGACATGATTTTGTCCTGACCACAGCTAAACTGCGGATGACATGATCTGTGCGGTTTCGCTCGCCTCAGCAGCTGTTTTTCTGTTCACATTTCCATGTGACTTCATTGCAGAGATGTTTCAGTCAATCTAAATTCCTGAATAAGCACGAGGAAAACATGCCTTGGAGAAAAACATCTCTGAAAACACTCCCAAATGTATAGTTGAGGTCCTGGATGCTGATCGTCAGTAGGAGGAGGAGACAACAATGTGTTCTTAATATTGATATTTTTAGAGAAATCATTTGACAAAATACCTCTCATAACTGATTACCAAAGAAAACCTTCAAAATCCCAATAAGAGCAACAGAAGCACATGTTCATGAATGCGGTTTGATGAACTTCCACAACCGCTGGCTTTCTGATTGTCCAATCTCATTCAAACTTCGAGACACGTCAAGCCAGGTGTGACGCCGATGAAGAGTTACGCAAGAGCCCATGGCGTTTGGTGTGACGTGAACTTTCACACAGATATGAGTAATGACTCAAAGATAGGGTAGGTACTTTTTTTCATAAACACTTTTTCTTATACTGGTCGAAAGAAACTCTCTTCACATCCTAATAGAAATCAATAATAAGTGGTCTAAATATTAAAACATGTAGGTGAAACTCAAAAGATTATAATATTTTGCTGATAGCATACATGCCACGCTCGCATTGAGGCTGTAATTAATGCAAAAGGGGCCCAAACCAAGTCCTGAGAACATACATGATCAGAGGGCCGACATTTCTGTATTTAAAATCCTTTTTTATATTGATTTCATGTAATATTCTAATTTTGAATATGGGGTTTTCATCACAATTATAACAAATAAAAGCTTGAGATATCTCACTTTGCATGTAATGAGTCTACTAATATATTAGTTTCACCATTTAAGGTGAATTACTGAAATAAATTAACTTTTGCACAATACTCTAATTTTTCGAGTTGCACCTGTATATCATATGTGGAAGTCTCAGGACCAAAAAATTAAATGTTCTTCCGATCATTGCATTCGGGCCGATATCCTGCCAGCCTGTCAACATATACCTCCGCACGCCTGCGACATCACTCACACATCATCAGCGCGTCTCTTGAGGCTATGCAGTAGGGCTGGTGGGTATTGACACACATTTCACAATTCGATTCAATATTGATTGTTTTGGATATCAGGTACAATATATGGCCAATTTTCTCAAGGAAAACCAATCGCTGTAAACTATGGGAGTCAGTTGTAGCCTATTGGCTTCATTAGCCTACTATAATATTGAAGGTGAAAATTAACTGATTTGTATACAAACACTTAAATTGCACTTATTTATTTTTATAATAATAAAGTTATATGAAATATAAACATTTAAACGGTGGCTGTCATAAAAACTTGGCAGATTTGTTCAAACATGCATTAAATATTGAAGAACATTAAAAAGTATAGGCTAATGAATATGTAATATGGTGCAAATATTCAGCAAAATGCTCCTCTTTAGAGTTAATTTTTATCTTGCTCAGTCAGAATCGAAATATTGGCAGACAGACATCCATTTAAAATGTAGGCAATGTTATATAAAGAACCTTTTTTCCATATCCACTTAAGTTTCTCAGCTTGCACTCTAGTAACATTTGTGTGGTCAAGGTGGCTTTGCATAAAACATGGTTATCATTCACAAGGCTACTTTTACTTTCACACTTTAAGAAAATTTCCAAGCCTGTACTTTGTTACTTTTACTTGAGTAAAGAAGTCAAATCAGCACTTCTACTTTTACCAGAATATGTAGGTACTTGTACTTGAGTACGGGAAGTGAGTACTTTTGTCATTTCTGATGATAACTACATACTAGTTATGCCATGTTAGCAATGTTTTGTAACCTAAATGGACACAAATTCATTTTCACCCTGATTTTGGAATATGATCTTTTAGGTTAATTCGGGATAATTGGGACATTTTTTCCCAGTCAACTTGGCTTAAAATGCTTGAAAATGTTGGTAATTTAGGCAAATAATACATTATGTAAGTAGGTTATTTCTAGAAGCAGACATGATGGGACATAAACAAAATCTAAAGGTAGGGTACAGTTTTATAAGTTGGAAAAACCCACGCAATACTGTACACACGAGGCCCAAGAACATCACCTCTGTTCTTTATAATCCCACACAGCGACCTAAACTAAACCCCGAAGACACCATGACTTGTGTATGTAATCTATTTTAAACAGTTGTCTTCATGCTGTTGGCTATCTACAACAGTCTTGTCATGATAAAGAGCTCTCGGACATAGTTCATCAGTAGAGTAACAATTCTGAAGCACATCTTCCTGACAAAACGTCTGCTCCTCATTTTCGTCCTAGAGATTTTCCCAAAACAATTGTGGCTGGAGCAGGCTGTTGGGAAAAGTGCTGACACGAGTGAAGTGGGGCTGCTGCTAATGAAATCTAGGCCATTGCCTCAGACTCAAACCTGGAGCCGATCCAGAGACTGTGTGAGTAATGAGAGGGGGAAGGTGCGGCAGAAGCGCTCACATTCAATAACACATCACACATCTGGCTCCATCGGGATTAACTACCTGCCCAGATGTTAGCCCGTCGCCCACCAAATGCCACGACACCAACAGAACCGTCCAATACAAAGTAACTTAAATGAGTCCCAAACCGAACTGAAGAAACTTTACATAACATTTCCACAACAAGGGATACAAACAGAAATTAGAAGTGAAAAAATTAAAAGAAAACTCGATTTCAATCATAATCTGATCACAATTAGTCTTTTTACTGGTTTTGAATTTGATTATTTGGCTAGACACCAATAATATGATGATATTTTACACTGTACTACTAACCTTGCCTTGTTATCTGATGCATTTATTTGTTTACCTTTCTATTGTGTTTTAATTGGTTTTGCTTCATAGTGAAAGTCAATAATAAAATTCATATTTTCCTCAAACAACATAGGCTACTTTTAGTTTTTTAATCATATTTTAAAACAAGTAGTTATCCATATTATAGTCTTCCATTACATCAGTTATAATGTTGTGACATGAATTTAATTGTAAATCGTAAAACTCTGGATAGTGATTTCCCTGCATTGTTTTGACAATATAGCATAGCATTTTAAAGTAAGAGTAAAACATCTGTTTTCTTTTGTGCAAAGTGAAGTTTCTTGTGTCTTCCTTTTGATTTTCCAGTGGCCTACATGACCTAGAAGTGTTCGTGATGGGTATCATTGGGTTGTTTGGTGTCTGGATAATATCCTCATCAGTGATGGACGACCACATTAATAAAAGAACCAACATCAAAGACCAAGAGCCAATGTAGAGGACTAAACAACCCAGGAGCAGGAAACCACATCAGACCTCTACATCTCTACATTCATCACGACAAGCAGGACTATTCCTAAAGAGTGGACGAGGGTTTGTTTATCCAGCTGGATTCAATGGAGGAATAAAGGCCACCTTCAAAGATTCAAATCAAAGATGTTTAGAATGGAAATGCTGTCTTTCTACCAAGAGGTAATGAAGGATCTCAAGACGAGTCTATAGTTGGCTCAACGCCAGTCTCTGAGAACCATGGGAAATCTCTACAAATGGGAAATCATTAGAACTTCCTCATTGGGAATCTGGGATGGACGCTTTAAGGCTGGGGTGTATATCTCCCGCTGTGGCGCTCGGGCCGGCCCCTCTGTTGTGGAACTCTTCCTGCAATTGTTGGGAAATAATCTGGGATGAAACAGAGGGGGAGGGGAGTTCCCAATGAGGTAAACCTCGGATTGTTTTTAGAAAACCAATAACACCACATAATGAGATTACATGGAGGGAATTTTGTAGGCAGATCCTTGCCAACTCTTAAAAAAGTTAAGATAAATCAAAAAGATCTGCACCTTGTAAACTCTAAAAGGCGAGTCAATCAAAAGCTGACACAATACTAACAACACTATAGTGACATTGACAAATGAGAGTGGCCAAGATAAAGAGGAAAATGTTGGTTTCATGCGGTTTTGACAAACACTGTTGGGTGAAAACCTCTTTTGAAATACTTTTCAGGAAATGGAAAAAAAAAAGTTTTTTTTAAAGAATTAAACACTGTGTTGATATTGATTTAGTGGCTTTATATTATATAATTTCTTAACTAGACATCAACCAAGTGAGTATAAGCACACAATTATGATCACTCTGGTCAGTTTTATTTGTGAAAAATGAGCAAAACCCACAGACAGACGTAAAGGGTTCCAGTAGTGATGATTTATGGAAAAAAAGAATAAAAAGGAGAAAATATGCAGATTTGAGGTTTCCACTGGACAGCGACGATAAATCGGAAAAAAAGTGTAATTACATTTAAAGAAAAGTTAATGTGATATAACCAAACAAAAAGTAATAACATATTGTCATTATACTTTTATATATAAATATATTTCTATGTACTTTTATAAAATATTAATCATTTATTCATAAATATCATTACGTTTTTTGGGAAGTTGTACCACATGACGTTTTACAACCTAAACCAACCTTGTCTTTTCATAAAAAAGTCAAATTATGTAATATTTTAAGAGACTTATTGACCTTCCTTGACACACAGTCATGGAGGTCTACATGGGTCATATTCATCTTGTCTCTTGTCTCTCTATTTTCATAATATTTTAACAAGACTGCTTCAATGCTCATTACCTTTTTTTAAAGAAATAATAATACATGTTATTTATGATTAGGAGTTTCACCACCCTGACAATTTAACTCATTTTAACTAGTGCTTTATGCAGTTCCTAGAGTTTTATGGTTCACTGCTTTATAGTTGCTTCCTGATTCGAGTCAAAAGAGTCCACCCACAAGTCTCTATATCTGCAGATTAGTGTATCATATAGTAGTTTGCCCGCATTATCCACCACGTAAAATTGCAAATCTGCTTAGAAAACCAATAGCACACATTTGTTGCCTTTACAAACCCGGCTAACTATAGTTACGTTGCCTTGAGATTGCTTAAACAAACATCTGAGCAAATCCACGTGTCTTTAAATCTGTTCTTGAAACAATCAAAGAGACATCTAGATTACAATTAAAGTTATTTTGTTTGCTTCGTAAGTTCAGTGGTTTATCGCAGCGCTACACAAACGGCTTATTCGGTCTAAGATGAAGAGAGAAGTTGAAATGCTGAAGTGAAATGCATTTGCTAAAAACAGAACAACACCTCGCCTATGCATATCAATTTGCAAACGAAACATGTAAAGCCAGCACTCAACACATAATGAAAACAGGCGCAAAGAGGCCTTTCACGAGGCCCATTTTTATTTATCGTTCTTACAATGCCAAGATAAACCGCGAAATGGAAAGATTAGTGGAAAATCTGCCCGTGGAGGAAACCTTTCCAACTGTACTGTGAGAAATAATGACTTCTGTCCCTTCAAGATAACCTTCAGATCATGGATAGGTGAAGATAAAGCTATATTATCACTTTTACACCATGAAAATGATGCAATCCGTGTTATAACAATTCATAACTTTGGGGATTTTCTCCTGTATGATCACAGTCTCTACAGAGAAACCATTTCAGTAAGAGATTGAAGAAAAAGAGCAGGTTTTACATTGGCAAGCACAGTTTCTTCAGAACATGTAAACATGAGTGGTTGATGAACTTCTTTGTCACTTTGCGTAAGAATAAGGATCATTCACAGCAACCGACGAGTGGTTTCAAACCCTTCCAGCTTAAACTCTGCCAAAAATGCTGAAATTAAAATGTCCAACGTTTTCCATGTTTTTCCTCATGAACATCTGCTCCTTATTTCTGAGCGGATGTTGTTATGAGAGAGGAGGGGGAGAAGAAGAGGCAGAAAGCAGAAATAATAACCCTTCAGCACCTACAGAGAGACTCACTCCAGCTAGACTAGATATCAGGACTTATGGTTTAGTAATTAGCTTAGTCATTTAGCCGAGTTCTGTTGAGACAGGTTTAGCGTTTCTGGAATAGAGGCTAAAATTAAATACTGTTTTTCTAATCCTCATGTCTTTCCAAAGTATGTGGGGGAGTATATGCTCTTTTCCATACAATGACAGTGAATAAAGACTCTCAAGGCCGTCAAGTTCAGAAAAACAACAAAAAAGCACAATGAAAGTATCAAAAGTTGCCGATATAACTTGTGTACTATATTTCAAGTCCTCTGAAACACTGAATCATACTTTTGTGATACACACATGTTAAATGGACTGTTTCTTATGTGCTTTTTGACGTTTTTAGACCTTGACAGCTCCAGTCCCCATCCGCTTGGCTTGTATTAGATGGGGAAAAAAGACATTAAACATATCTTTTTGTTTCCCACAAAAGAAAATAACAGGTTGAGCAACTTGAAAGCAAATAAATTATTGTATTTTTATTATTTTCATTCATAATATTCATTTTTTATTTTGGTTGAACTGTCTCTTTAAATGTCTTGCTCAAAGAGCCAAAGCTGACAAGTCGTTAATTTCATTTCATAATGTAAATATGTTAATGTTTACGTTGTCTATCCACTTCATGACTGTAAACTCAAATAATTTACAAGATCAAATCTGAGACACCCAAGAAGACATGTATGATCAAATCAGCCATTGACAGCATAAAATATCACCAGTCTAACGTTAAATAAATACGTTTAACGTTACTCTTTAAGTGTAAGTTATGTTTACGTTGTATTTTATAGTTTAAATCTAAAGTCACAAATACTTTCAACTAAAATAAATTTTTAAAACACACACACACAAACCAAACAAATCATGAATACTAAATGAGAGTAAATTGAAAGGTCTTTCTCACCTGAATCTAGGAGAGTCCTTGAGACATTCCTCAAAATCCACAGTGATCTTCATGTTGATTTGATGAGGTTAATAAACAGATTAAGAGCTAGCAGGCTAACATTAGCTCCTGTAAAACCAATAAGAGCTCAAACTTCTGCTCAAATCACTCAAGATTCCCAAATGTACTCCACATATGAGCGACAAAGTCCGATATGCTCGTGTCAGTTGGACGTGAAGCGCTAGAAATGATTTTTAAAAGGTGTAGTTCCTCCAGAATTAGCGAGTGGACTGAGCTGATGGGTGTAAATGAAGAGCAAAGACAGGCAGTGTCCTAAAAACCAAGTGCGCTGCCTATCTAGACTGCATATTTGCCCATGAGTTTCGCCCTGAAGAAAAGAAACGGAATAATTCAGTAGAATGACAATTCGTATGTAACGGTCGATTACATAAAAGGCGGGGCTTATTTTTAGCCAATCAGAAAGCGCTTTGCCTGTCAATCACTACGGGCTCTGACATTGGATTGGATTGGTTACTTTGTAGGGCGGGGCGTTATAGAGAGGGCGTGTCGTTATAGGGAAAACGGCTGAAAACGTTCACAGCATATTTAATTATAACATATAATGATTATTATTATTATTATATAATCCACGTTTCGATGTGCAATTCCGTACAAATTAGATTTTCTCAGTATAATTTTTTCATACAATTCAGCGATCAACGATGTCACGTGGTAGCTGTTACTTTTCTCAGTGCTGGTCGGGATAGACCAATCACAGTCGTTTGCAATGAGTGGATACTATTTTTCTTTAAAGATTGTGGGGCGGATTTTCATCTATCTTTATGTCAGGTGTCAATCCTTGAATGTTGTATACTTACATAATTATGCTTTTTAGTGCACACATATGTGTTCAGTGAGACCAAAACAGTCTTGAGATGTCATGCGGCTCAATGGCAGATTGGGTTGTTTGAGCCGAAGAGCGCCATCTAGAGGAAGACCACGCTGAGTCTCAGAAAACCCAAGTAAGTAATATTTGCCAATTTGAGACACAGCCAGAAACAGGCCAACGAATTCAATCCTTACTCCCCCTCCTTCCAAGTCCTCTCTGACACACTCCACCACATAATACACAATTTCCTCGCAGCATTAAAGATTATGCTTCAGATTATCTCGATATCATATAGGCATATATGCTTGTGATATTCGCTAAGTAAAGACACTGACTTTGGTTTCGGGAAACTTATCAAAGCTCTCCAGGATCCACGTTTGAGGAAAAGGTTCACAGTCACACCCACTTTTACTCAAAGTGAAAAGACAAACATCTTTAAAATAATTGATGTGCATCGATCTCGCAAATGCTTTATTTGTATTTGTTTTTATATGTAGCCTATTGTTTTAAAACTTTCCATTCTTTCCAGTTATTTTACTGTATGGATCAAGTTTGTCTTCGTTGCTTATATGTATTTATTGTGAAATACTGCCATCTAATGGTCTATTTCTGACATACATTTAGTTTGAGCCGAGTCATGCACAAGTGGAAACTCTGAGAAAACTTAAAATCACAATGGCAACTATATTTTTTGCCGAAATAGTTACTTTAATTATTGTTACTACTGTAAAATCAATATTATGTGGTGGGCTCTGTCAGTGTAGGTCTAAAGATCCGTTCACACCAGGAAAGATATAATAACTATAACGATAACCATTTTAACGTGCGTAAACAGAGGATAACGCGCTGATTATTGTAAGTACGCACTGCATTTAAAGGGATAGTTCACCAAAAAATGAAAATTGTCGTCATTTACTCACCAAACCTGCATGAGTTTCTTTCTTCTGTTGAACACAAAAGAAGATATTTTGATAAATGTCGGCAGTCAAACAGTTGACGGTAGCCATTGACACTTCCACAGTAGGAAAAGAAAATACAATGGAAGTCAATGGGGTCCGTCAACTGTTTGCTTACTAACATTCATCAAAATATCTTCTTTTGTGTCCAGCAGAAGAAAGAAACTCGTACAGGTTTGAGGGAGAGTAAATGACGACAGAGTTTTCGTTTTTGGGTGAACTATCCCTTTAAGGGTCATTAACACAAGGACGATATCTAGCGATAATCGTTGTAATTCTGTGAGGATAGTTAAAGTCACACCGCATGATAAACGATAAAACATCGACAGCCAATCAGAAGCGTGAGCATTTAAGACATTATAATTTTAATACAGATAACGTCGTCGTCCGTTGGTTTGAACGCTAATTTATGCATCCTTGCAGTTATCATTGTTGGTGTGAATGGGTTTTTAATAACAGTATAAGATGCTTTCATATTTTTCACTTTGATGACAGTATTGGCAGTTTACTAGAGTAATCGTCCAAATATAAGGGGGTAGCTTTGCTTTTTTTATTTTATTTTTATGGCATTTATATTACATAAAAACAATTTCAAAGAACACATTTGTACCAACGTTTTAATGATGACAAATATGCACATTTTCATTTGAAGAACATGCACATCTATTTAAGAAAAGAAACAGAAAAACAAATCTTGAGGAATAAAAATGACACATAAATGGCCATTTTACACAATACAAACGGAGAAAGTTCAACATAATCAAAAAGCACTTGTTTAAGCATTTGTTCGAGAATGAACCAATTTTGGATTAAACTATATTTGACTTGAAACATGTGTGCAATCCATGTCAAAAACTGATGGGACATTGAAGGACAAAACCAGGCGTTTCATATTTTTCATTAAAAATAGACAACCAATTAATAAATGTGCTTTTTGTTCAGTGTGTCAGCACTGTTTTTGAGATATTGCCAGAATTTAACCTTTTTTTGACATCATTCAGTTAAGGGAAGGGCATGTGAAAATGATTTAACATCCACAATGATGGAAAGAAACATAAAAAAAGAGAAAAAAGATCTCAAATGAATGATTCTGCTGGTTTTAGGTTGAGAATAAATACATTAGCCAGAAAATGCTTTAAAATGCATTCAGGCAGATACGGTTGCATTGAAGCACTGTTTCCAAAAAGCAATGCTGCGTCGATATCTGGGTGGATTTCATAAAACCCGTCAAGAACATATACAGCTCATTTTTTGTTTTTCACCAAATCAAAAAAAAAAAAAAAAAAAAAAACTTAATATTATAATTTAACTGTTTGTTTGTTTTTTCATTAAAATTAAGCACACAAGTAAATATTTAAATCATATTAAAAAATATTTCATTATCATTACTGTAATGCATCTGGATGTTTTATGCAACAACAAAAAAATCTGAGTCAATAGCAATATAGTTTTTTGTATATTGCTATCGAGTCGATATTTTAGCATTACGGTAATGAGTACGAATTTTTTTGCATTACGGTAATGATTCTCTGAATTACCTTTTTGCATTAAAGTAATGAGTCTGAATAATTTTTTTGTTTGTGTAATGAACAAATATATGATGCATCAGAATCTTTTGTGCATTACAGTAACGATAACTCACTGTAATGCGCAGAATATTCTGACTCATTACTGTAATATATGGTACTAAAACGTTTTTATACAAAATATAATTTATTTTTTCCTTTTGACTTTGGAGCCAAATATGACAAGTTATTGCAAGGTTTTCCGACATTCACCCATTTAGCTTCTTTATATATATATATATACACAACACGCATATGTGTCAGTTTGACTATAAATTGACAAAATACACCAGAATAACAGCCATTTTAAAGATGAATTTGCTTGGGTCAAATTTATTATTATTATTTTTTTATTTGATACTGCACTATAATTATATTCTTCAGTGACCACAAAAAGAAATAACCCCATTATAATAGAGTTATAAAAAAAAAAGGCAATCAAAACAAACAAAGCTCAATAAGGACGCCAAGACAAAACCCTCCAGATCCCTTCAGCATCTATTAAAGCTGTTGTAGTTTTGGAAAAGCAACAGAGACGGCCATAGGGTCAGTCTACTGATCAGTAGTTTTACAGCTAGGTATGTAATACTCACCTGTTACTTCAAACACAGGGCTAATACAATTAGTGCCAATGTAATTAAACATGGTTTTCAGAAGCCATGCATACAGTAGAGCTCATGTGAGCGGTTTAATACGGGCTGTGTGTGTGTGTGTGTGTGTGTGTGTGTGTGTCTGTCAAAGCCCAAGACCACATCAGTCCCCCTTTACCAGTGCATGCTAAACCAGCAGCTTGTTCAAATGGCATTAAACTCAGTTACTGGAGTGTCAGTAAGAGTGGTGCTGGGAAAGAAGAGAATCAGTATGGTTCGCTGGGCTCCAGCTCACTTGGGCTTGGAGATCCCACGCTCTCGGCCACAGGACGAGGGAGGAGTCCAGGCCTGGAGCGGTTTGATAACAGTCTCGATTCTTAGCATGATGGCGATAGACGTTTGGCAAATGAGGGAGCTGGTTGATATGCGTGGCATTGCGGTGTTGGTGTAATACACAGGGTGGGGGGGATCCTGGAGCTGAACCCAAACCGGTGACGACCCCGCGCCTTCCAGAGGTTCATGACACAAGGCAGGAGTCGAAGGACACATCTTGACATCCTTATGAATCCAGGGAATCAGCTGTAACAAACCAGACGTTTTAGTTCATTTCACAATTTTGAAACTATTTGGAAACATTTGTAAATTCCATGTTGGCAATTTGACTACCACAAAACAGAATCAAAAAGTTACTTTGTAAAACAATTTATTTTTCAATAAATTGTCATAAAAGCATAATGCATCAAATATGATACATAACCAGTAATCAAAGATAAAACATGTTTGTTTTTTTTCATTTTTGGTTCAATAAACCATTTGATTAAAAAAATTAACTTATTTTATGTCAAGCTTTACAGGGTTAAATAGGGTTAATATGAAGGGTTATGGTTTTACAGGGTTCCTGCACACTTTTGAAAGTCAAATTTAAGGCTTTTTAAGACCTTTTTAAGACCTTAAGAAATCAAAATTAATACCGTACATTAGGGCTGTGCAGTATTGACAAATATATCTTGATATTTTCAACGTTTTGTTGATAATAATTAGATGATATTTTACTGATTGTGTTTTTGTGCTGGTGCCATAGCTGGTTTAGGTCTGTTGTTGACAGCTGACTCACGAAGATATTCATATTTTTCATATTCTATGCAGTGGTCAGTTCAGAGCAGTGACAGAAATTAATATTTTGATTAAGGGGCAATATTTGCCACCTTAAATTGATTTTTTCAGGGGCATTTCCACCTATATATGGACATTTTTTCTAAACTTATTTAGAGTTATGCATCACCTTTAATGTCAAATACTATCATTCAAATTAAATTATACAGTAATTATACAATAATACTTAATTATATAATAATCATACAGTACCACTGTTACAGTCAAATTAAATCATTCAATCAAAATCCATCTTTGCAGTGCAGAGTTGACAGAAGCGGCATCAAGTGGCATTAATATATTTACACTCCATTTACAACTGCATAAATAAAGCTATGAGATATATATTTTTAAATCAATATTCAATATTTAAATATGAAATGATTTCTAATTTTAACATTTTATTTAAAGGGTACTTTAAATATGAAACCGCAGCGGCAAATCACTGTCTTAATAAGTGAGTTGAGGGAGTCATTCATTCAACCGATTCGTTCAAACGGCTGATTCATTCGGGAAAGAAGCAAGTGATTCGTTCAAAACGCGGATTTCAGTAAAGAAATCATCGCTGTCGGTTGCATTGAGACTCTGCTACGGTTTCATTTTGAAATTATAGTCGGCGAAATAAAGGGAAAACAAACAATATTAACAATATTGTGTCTAAAAAGTAGTTTCAATGTTAACTTATTGTTAATTTAACAGTTGTATAACATAAATATCACACTTGGAATCGTGCACGGGAAAACGGCACTCTTTCTGATGTGATATTCTAATATAAGAACATAATATGATATAAATATAAGACAAAAACTAATTTGGGGACATAACAGTTACACTGCACACATCACGCAGTGAAAGCACGAGACAAATGCGATGTCAGCTCGCAGTGCCTCGTACATTGTTAAAACAATGATTACAATATCATAATAGACAATACACATCGCACACCATACGCACATAAAGAATGAACTTACAACTAAACTGACATTTACGACCTTTCTTCTCCTTCTCTCCTCTCGCGTGCAGGAGACAGTTATGCTGCCGCGACTCGCGAGTGACGCGAAATGTCACGTGAACTAGCAAATCCACAAAGATAGAATAATAAATAAATACAAATACGTACGCTAATTAGATAGTTTTAATTTGGAAAGCTTTTAGATATGTCTAAGTCAAAGTGTCATCTAAAATTTAAGACCTTTCATAAGTAAAAATAAGACTTTATAAGACTTGTTATGGTCTTAAATTTTAAAAATCTAATTTAAGACTTTAAGGATCCGCGGGAACCCTGTTTTATTCAAATCACCAACCCAAAAAAAACAAGCAACAGCAAAAATAGTGATGCCTGACTAAAGCGCCTTTCAGACAGGATGCGAAATGCGCGGTTCAGCGTTGCGTTGCCCTTCAGATACAACGCGATTTGCGCTCCACTAAGCTAGAGCAAAGTAGGCTGAGTTTTCAAAACTTTTAGCGGGCTTGTTTGGATGCCCTGTTTTCTATTGGTCACGCTGGTAATCGCCACAGATCGCAGCCAGATGCGCAATGCGCAACCAGATATTCGAATAGTTTGAATTTTTTAGAGAGAATATTCGAACGTCATTTTTGAGCAATTTTGACAGCCCTATTCTCCAGGGACCTCTAGTGGTTAGCAGTGGCTGAAGACTCAACACACTAAATATCTCCTCACACAACAATAGATGATGGGCATGTGAACGTTTCGGTTTACTTTTAGCTTTTCAACACAATCCAAAAACATGGACTTGGACTAACCCTTTGAAGTAACTATCCAAACTACATGTGTAGTTCAGTAGTGTTGTCCAGATATGGCTGAACTGTACTAATGTTTCAGCAGGAGCATGAAATATCCCATCAACGCTGTGTGTAAACGTCTCCTTATTTACCATCTTGCGGGGGGTCGACGTTGATGTCCTCGGTCTCTGTGTCGTCCTTCATCTCTTCGTCCTCATCTTCCTCCTCTTCCAGCTCGTTGGCGATGAGTTGTCGGGCTAGTTTAATGTTCATACCTTCATTATAATGCATCTTCCTCATCATCTGAAACTGCTTCTTTCTGGCTGAGGAAAGACAAACACACACAGCTCTAAACTCACGGAAGACATGTCGTCAAACTTTTGTTCTTATTAAACAAAGAACAGAACATATGATTTTGTTCTTGTCTTTAAGCACAACCTTAAAATCATAACCATTAAATTATATTAATAATTATAATGATAAATTAATAATTCGGTTTTTTTGCATTAAAATTAAGCACACGAGTAAATATTTAAATCATATTTTAAAATTATTTCATAGTAGTGCATCGAGATGTTTATGCAAAAAAAATGTCTGACTCAATAGCAATATGCAAAAAAACTCCTTAATGTAAAATGAGAATTAAGAATAAAATGTTAAATATAAAATATAACTTTTATTATTACAATATTGTTGTTCTTCATGAAGTGCCAGTGGACGGCGGCGCCACATCACTACATCAAACTGAATACGGCACGTGCTGGTTTTAAATGTGTAATCAGTGTGAGAGAAAGCAGAGGGGAATCTGAGGCCATGAGAGAGAGAGAGAGAGAGAGAGAGAGAGAGAGAGAGAGAGAGAGAGAGAGAGAGAGAGAGAGAGAGAGAGAGAGAGAGAGAGAGAGAGAGAGAGAGAGAGAGAGAGAGAGAGAGAGAGAGAGAGAGAGAGAGAGAGAGAGAGAGAGAGAGAGAGAGAGAGAGAGAGAGAGAGAGAGAGAGACGTGTCTCACCTTGCTCCTCCGGACTCAACTCCTCCTCCTCCTCTTCCTCACTGCTCTCCTCTTCTGGCTCCTCCATGAAGCGAGACTCCGCGCCCTCCACCGCTGCCTCCAGCCTGAGAAGACGGCAAGACGTTTGTTTGTTAACATGCTATTTTTTTTTTATTTGCTTTATACACTCACCGGCCACTTTATTAGGTACACCTGTCCAACTGCTCGTTAACACTTAATTTCTAAGCAGCCAATCACATGGCGGCAACTCAGTGCATTTAGGCATGTAGACATGGTCAAGACAATCTCCTGCAGTTCAAACCGAGCATCAGTATGGGGAAGAAAGTTGATTTGAGTGACTTTGAACGTGGCATGATTGTTGGTGCCAGAAGGGCTGGTCTGAGTATTTCAGAAACTGCTAATCTACTGGGATTTTCACGCACAACCATCTCTAGGGTTTACAGAGAATGGTCCGAAAAAGAAAAAACATCCAGTGAGCGGCAGTTCTGTGGGCGGAAATGCCTTGTTGATGCCAGAGGTCAGAGGAGAATGGCCAGACTGGTTCGAGCTGATAGAAGGGCAACAGTGACTGAAATAACCACTCGTTACAACCGAGGTATGCAGCAAAGCATTTGTGAAGCCACAACACGCACAACCTTGAGGCGGATGGGCTACAACAGCAGAAGACTCCACCGGGTACCACTCATCTCCACTACAAATAGGAAAAAGAGGCTACAATTTGCAAGAGCTCACCAAAATTGAACAGTTGAAGACTGGAAAAATGTTGCCTGGTCTGATGAGTCTCGATTTCTGTTGAGACATTCAGATGTTAGAGTCAGAATTTGGCGTAAACAGAATGAGAACATGGAACCATCATGCCTTGTTACCACTGTGCAGGCTGGTGGTGGTGGTGTAATGGTGTGGGGGATGTTTTCCTGGCACACTTTAGGCCCCTTAGTGCCAATTGGGCATCGTTTAAATGCCACGGCCTACCTGAGCATTGTTTCTGACCATGTCCATCCCTTTATGGCCACCATGTACCCATCCTCTGATGGCTACTTCCACCATGTCACAAAGCTCTAATCATTTCAAATTGGTTTCTTGAACATGACAATGAGTTCACTGTACTAAAATGGCCTCCACAGTCACCAGATCTCAACCCAATAGAGCATCTTTGGGATGTGGTGGAACGGGAGATTCGCATCATGGATGTGCAGCCGACAAATCTGCGGCAACTGTGTGATGCCATCATGTCAATATGGACCAAACTCCCTGAGGAATGCTTCCAGCACCTTGTTGAATCTATGCCACGAAGAATTGAGGCAGTTCTGAAGGCAAAAGGGGGTCCAACCCGTTACTAGCATGGGGTACCTAATAAAGTGGCCGGTGAGTGTATATACACTGTATATATTAGTGTTGTCAAAAATATCGATACTGAAATATCTGAAACGGTTCCAGTACTCTGTTTCTGCAGTATCGATACACCGATGCCGGCTGCGCGTTCTTGCGCTCTTCCCTCTGACGGTGAATTGACACACACCCGCCTCCTGTCACTCACTTCCTTCATTGGTTGAATAGGGATGGTGTTGTGCATAATTGCACTCATTCTCGCATGTTTCGCGCTCACACCAGAAGCGTGCGCACCACTGATCTATAGAAGCACATAAAGCCGCCTCTCAGATAGATTGTGATGGGTGAATTATTTTTCATGGCCTATTGCACTTAAACATTTTTGTAATGTGACACAAAATGATGTCAAAATGCCCGTCTTGCAGAGTATTCAGGTAAACAGTTGAGAGAAAACTTGTGTAACAGTATATTGGATCTGTGCATACGCTCTTAAAGTGACAGCAGCCTCATAAACCGGCTGCACAAGACAGAAAATCACAATTAAAAAATTTAATAGTAGGCATTAATTTGTATTTATTTAAATTCTGTTGAATTTCTTGCCAGAGTACTAATGGTAAACCCACCTGAAAATTTGTCAATTATATTGGTTATTATTAGGGGTGACCCCGAATAGTCGAAGATTCGATGCTTCGATAGGAGGAGCCTGATTCGACTACCAATCTCACGGTCGAATCTTCGCAGATGTGTTATTAAACGAGGATTATGTCATTTTGGCTATATGAGTGTGCTCAATGTCTGATTTCACATAGAACTACTGGTTTTCTGTCAATACGTTAATATAGGCCTACAGCCTATTATGATAATGCTGTCAATAAAAATGTGCAAAAAAAGAAGCTTTTAATAAATATTTTTAACGTGCGTGCAGCGTGAATAAATCCAAACACCCCGTGACAGATTTAAGTTTCACTTTCGATCCGTGACCGACAGAGGAGCGTCTTGTCGGCAGGGATTTAAATCTTTAAAAATGTCTGGGATAAGAAAATCTAAAGATGCACACAAGCCACAAGGATATTCTCCAAGGCTGGATTTAGCATCAGGAAAACCATGATCGCACTTCTGCCGGCCAACGTTAACAGGTTGGTTTTCCTCGGGACCTTCTAAAACGCTTAACGTGAAAAAATGTGCTTTTAAAACGCTTAAATGGCACTTTTACGTGCTTAATGTATGTACACAGTAGGCTACACACCTTAAGAAACCATTCTATGTGCAGATAAGCAGATGAACCCAGAATATGAACGCAACGCGTTTCTCCTATAGAAAGTCACGTAAAGCTTTTTCTTTAACGCGTTTCTATGGGAGGAAAATGCTTATAGGCCTAATAAAACGCGTTGCGTTCATATTCTGGGCTCATCTGATTTTCTGTAGGCTATATAGTATGCTTTATTAATAAGGTGTGTACATAATTTGATCTTTTAATATAACAGTTTTAGAACAAAGCCGTTAAGCGTTTTTCACGTTAAGCGTTTTAGAATGTATTTTATCCGCGCACACAATTTGAAAAGACTCAAACGGACACAGGCCGAGTGAAAGACTGGATTTTGTTTTTTCGATCAGGTAAGTGATTTCAAAACATTTCAGCCGGTTCTAATTTGATTTTTGGATATTGTGAACACGTTTAGCTAAAAAGACTGCCGCTCCAGTTTAGCGTTTATTGTTGTTTCTGCAGTTAAAAAGACAAAGTTGACAATCCTGGCCATACTTTCGTTATTTTAATAATTTCTTTATTTTTATTTTATTAATTGATCACTCAGGGTGATCTAATTTAACTATTTGTGACATGTGTTTTGAATATGTTCCCCTGCACTTTAGGCATTTTGCACACATTTGTTCTGCTTCTTGTGACTTGATTCTGACTTATTTCGTTTTGTATTTTTATTTATTATAAATGTATATTGTGTTCTTAATTGTTGATTATTTTTCAGTGCATCGATGTTGCGCTGTAGGCCTACTTAGAGCATGCTCGTACAGGCAATTCAGCCGATTTAATTTGATTTGCATGTGAAATGCAAATCCTATCTGCAGTGTGGCCTTTCTGCAGTTATTTATGTTATTTCTTAGTTTTATTGATCCAAAATGTTTTTATACATTTTCTTCTATATCTTTGTGTGATGTTCTGTACATCGTGGCTTTAAAATGTTTAAGCCCCGCCCCCTCCCCAACACCACACACATGATTCGACTATTAGTCGACTATAGGCAGGACTTGACGAATCTGATTCGACTATGAAAATCCTTAGTCGGGGACACCCCTAGTTATTATTATATTAATTATATATTATTTTATGTATTATACATATTACTTATGAATAAAATATCTACTGATCAAATTTAGCCAATTTATGAGACCATAGGCTTGAGCAACAAAACTTTATTTCCCATCATTGTTTGTAGAAGCACAAGACTGATAAACCTAAAGAGCATTGTTGTTGCATAAGAGCTAAAACGTTTCCCGTCTTTGTCATGAAGTGAGTGAACCAATAAATATGTAATTGCCCAAAACATCCATTCATTTCTGACCAAAATCCCTTGATGCACACATCATGTCATAATTACCACTCCTTATAAGAAACTACCCAGGAGGACTTGAAGGCAGCATCATTTCCGTATTAAGGAAAGTTAGTCCAATCATTGTACTCTGACGGCCTTTACGTAGCTAAAATCTAACGTTCAACTCGGTGTGGATTCTTGCAGTAGTTTTTCCTAAAGCCTGATGATGTTTGTAGTATTCTCACTGTTAATGTGTGACAGAATTTCTAAGGAAAGCATCTCTCAGGAGTAATCGGTCACACACATGCACAATGGCCTCAGTGACTGCTGGGTCGGGAAGCATAAAACACACGTAGCTGAGGGAAACACAAGACACACAGTGGGAGGTGGGCGATGACAAGAGCGAGAGCACAGATACTGACGGAGAAGGAAAGAGACGGCGAGTGGGACTAAGGCAAGGGCAGTTGCATTACTAGGAGGCCGTGAGCCGCTCTTCCTCTTCCTTACATCAGATACAGATTCAGTTACAGGCCCGCGGCAGACAAACCACTCTCTCGCATCCATCTCAGCCTTTAAAGACACGGATCTAGATACAAAGATCCAAATCCTGCATTCAAGTCTTTGAATGAATGGAAGAGGTCGGGTTTAAGTGCCTTTCTCTAGGGGGAAGAAAATCTATAAACATTGTGGTGAGATTTCATGCCCAGTGAACTCTTATAACCTAAAGATATAGGCTAGTCAGTGGGTTTTCTTAAAGGACCTGTTCACATAAAAATAAAAATTCGAAATCAAATATTACACATTTGCATGTCACGTGACTTGCCGTCATGATGGTATTGAGGTGTGTGTATATTGGGCTATATATTTTGCGACCTTTTTTCCTGCTGGCGTGACTTTTTCGCACTGGTGCCGCCACCAGGTTGGCCAACTGATAAGAGCTGCCATTTCTGTTGCATATGAGACACATTAAACGAAATGAAAGTGGAAACACTAAACAAACCCACACTACTTGTTTGAGCTGTGCTCCGCGGAGCGTTTATCAGCTCGAACCAATAATAGACAGCGCAGAACAGGTTCACTCGCCACCGTTACTACACAGCGCTGGGAGATCCAGTGAGAGAGCGTTAAACAGTATTAATCACATCGCTGGACATCTAGTGAGACGAATTCAAATGCAGCACAGAAATCTGAAAGGTGAATATGGATTGAATTTTTAATAATGAAAATGTGTTTGAAATGTTTTGAATTGCAATATTCAGTTTAAATATACAACCATGTTGAATTTCAGCCAATAAAAATGCACGCCCTCAATGCATTAAAATGCAATTACGATTAATTCAATGCATTTTTGTTTTTTCTAATTAGTGCAATTCAACCAGCTTTTTTGTTTCAAACACATTTGGCATTAATTGTCTTCCAAAGTTGTGCTTTAATCACTTACATTTTGCAATTTATCATACAAACTGTTCATATCTTTTCAGATTCTTCAGAAGATATTATTTCTTTAATAACTAGCCACCTAATCTATCAATAACAAGAAAGGCACTTTCAAAAACATGACATGATGCTAATAATGCAAGACAACACATTGGTCAAAGACCTTCATTTGCATGTAAATGAAGTAAAAAAGAAAATGGCTGGATGGAATGCAATACTTTAAATATTATTCTAAAAAGCATTGCCCCGCAAAGTTTTTTTCTGGACTAAATAGTCATTTCAAAGAAATTTTGCTTGAGGGAGAAAATTTCCAAATGCTTCCAAATTGATATCGCGATGTGCGGATCCGCAATAGTCAATGCAGCCATTATATTGGATATGTGTATTCGGTCTTAAAGTGACATCAGGCTAATATTCCTGATGCCGTCTGTGTCATTAATGTTAATCAAACAACACAATACAAAGAGAAAATCACTTTAGTAGCTGTAACAAAGATAAATTATGTTTAATTTATACAGTGTCTTCAGTTATTTTACATTTGATTATTGAATTTCTGTACCTGAATACGGTTAGACTTACCTGAAAAACAAAGCACTGTTCATTTCATTTGAACCTTCTTTTTTTTTTGTATTTATCTATGCTTTAGGGCTGTCAAATGAATATTTTAATATCCGTAAAAAAAAAAAGCAGCAGCTAATTCGATTTGGTGTCAATACTTTTTGGTGTGTCAAGAGGCGAGCGAGACATTATGATGACGCAACTGATGCGTTTTGTTTTTGTTAGCTTACCCAAAAACTCTCAGTTGGTGGCAAAAATCGTGCAACAACATACTTGACCACACCTGGCACACGGTCAGAGCTGAGCTACCGTTTTCTTAGTTTACTGATGCACTTACACAATTTGATGCACTATTGTAACCAAACCTTGCATGCACATTAAGGAAATAAAATTTTTTTTTTTTTAAACATTCTTTCAAAAGGTAATGCACTTTAAAAAGTGAATATCATTTCAATGAAAGATGCGATGCTTGATTTGGTTTGTATTTGCTTTTGCGCTCGCTTGCGCCCTCTTGTGGGCATAGGAGACGATACAGTACTTTTTCCCTGTAATTCGAATAGAATTCGAATTTTGCTAATATTTAAGAAAGAAATTCGAATTGAGCTTTTCAGCCATTTTGACAGCCCTACTATGCTTGTAATTTGTTTAGTATTTTCTATGCATATTCATTACCCTACAAAATCACCTCTTCAAATCATCCGGTGAACTCGTTTTCATATTGTAATATCGCAGAAAAACTCAATATTGCAATGTAAAATTTTTCCAATATCATGTAGCCCTATTAGACAATTGCTGCTTTGATGGCTGTACAAGTGATGGATCTAGAGAACTTCTCAGAGAGATGTTTTACTGTGCTGACTGCCTTTAAAGTTCTTTAATATATCACGTAAAACATTAAATGTAAAAAAGAAACAAGTTGACTGGACTGCACTAGAGATCCAACTAGGCTCTAAAGTCATGAGAAATGCTCTGAAGCTCATAGTAGGCTAAACACACCACTATTGATCGGCAAAGTTTTTGTCAGCCATGAGTTGCTGGTTGTGGATCAATACCTGTGCCATTATGAGCTGTTCTTGCTGACATGCGTCTCTGCATTTCAGAGAAGCACATGGTGGGTTTTTTGGGAAACACTGAGCTTACAGGAAAAGTGTCTGTTCTGAGTGAAACTGAAGCAGTACAGCACGCTGGGCAGACACTGATTTGAAAGCATTAGCAGCTCTGCTTGAGTTGCTGTGAAGTTGGCTCGCCTGTAGGCTGTGGCGTGACATCTGTTCTGGTTGCTCATGTACTGTGTCAGGGTTAAACACAGTACCTGCACACATTACTAACATTGAACTAACAAGGCAGGAAACCAAAATTAGCACAAGTACCGTTTCTTGCAGAGACTGTATTTAGTTTAATGAGGTTGTTTAAACCTGCTACATCAGAGAACGCTGTGAGTCTATTGATGTCAAGGCGGATTGTGAATCGCAAAGACACAGCAGGAAAAACGCTTAAAGTTTGCCACAGTGTCAATCTATCATGTCAACAAACTTTGAAGAAACCTTAACTTTTTTATGATAATTATAAAATTTTTACTACTTTTTTTAAACTATAAAAATGTTTTATGCAAATTATTACTATTTCTTAGTACTGGTCTCATTTTTCCTCCCACAACAATTTTTCCACCAATATATATATATATTAGAGATGCGCGGATGAGCTTAAACGTCACCCCGAATCCACCGCCAAACACAAATCCTCCACCCACCCGCACCAATACATTTCTCTGAATGAAGTATCCGCACCCGATGGACATTTGTATGTGTTGTTACGCGTGGTGATAAATGGATGATCAACACCTTCAACAGCGGACTCGGCGACGGTTGCTGCGCGCATCTCTAATGCTAACCTAATACACATTTCTTTAAAACAAAATTTATTTGACAGAATTTAATTTTCTTAATGGCATAAACAGACTTTACTCCTTTACTCTTGAAACTTAAACTGGAATGTACACACGCACAGACAGACACACACACACACACGCGCGCACAACCCCAGCCGTTGCATATTACATACCCAGCACTTGATACATCCTCGTTAACCACTTCGCTAAAACGCTCCCACACGGTACTTTTATTTCCTTCCTTCCTTTTGTTTTGTTTTTAATTCTTCTTTTTTACTTCACTCTCGGACCTGCTCCATTTCTGCTTAAAAAAAGCGGACGCGCAGCGTATATCTTAAAGAGAGGGCAAATGAGTGCCTGTCTGCCTGGAGGAAAAAAAAAAATTGTGTAGACATGCTTAGAGAATGTAGTTAATATTTTCGTTAATATTGATTTATCTTATCCACCCGCGACGCATAAAAGTACCCATAGTTGAAGAAACACCCATTTTGCTTTTAGACGAGCACACAGAGGTGGTCATCCTTGGGGTCTATACATGACATCTTCTTTATGGTGTATTTTTAAAAAGCTTTTTTGAGCATAATACATTATGTGAAATGTAGGCTACAGATGTGAATACACTGAACCTCCATGACACTGCTGGTTCATTTGCTAGCATGCATTAGTGTGCGAAGCAGGATTCAGCACTCGTCTGCATCAAGACCAAATCCCAATCCAAGTTAAGATTTATGCTTTGAACTATTTTGACATTGCAGTCCGACACTCACATAAGACAGTCTGCCAATGATGCCTAAATGATCAGTCATAGTTCTTGTCCATAACAATAAAATATACAAAATAGTAAAGTCAAATGTGTTATTATTATAAGAAAGTATCCTAAAGTGCATAGGTTAATCTTGTGATGTAGATGCGGTGGAGTCACAATTATTCTGGGACCTAATCATGGGTACGCAACGAAACATTGACAATCCCTGTACTACCCTTCCATCCATATCAGAGACAGCAATCATGCATCACTTACTTCTTAGCGAGGTCGTCTCCGTGTAGGACTGTGTTCCCGTCCGAATCGCTGAGCGCCCCCTCATCTTCGTCATCTGCAACCATCCTAGGAGGGAAAGGAGATTGTTGGCCAATTGCCCAAAGGGAGAAAGACAGCGTGACCTTTTCTGCAAATTTGCCCTGTCATATTGAGTTGCAGCCTCAGTGCTGCCCTTGTATTTTGCAGACAGGGCAGTAACATATCCAGAGAAGGGAGCAACTGTTTGAACTACCAATATTTACAATCCATACAGTGCCTCAGCAAGAGAGCAGATAACTTCTGAACAAGAACGTTTCTCCAATAAGTAGCATAAAATGCTATAGGCTACCCTCAATGCAGTATCGTAACTTATCGAAACCTGAAAGTCCATATTGCTATATGCTATACTGCTATGCTAAACATGCTATACTGAAAACCAGTTTGGCCAGATATCATTTAATCATTCCTTAGATAATTAAATCAATACAATTTGTTCTAACAAGCACATCTTCATTTTCTTCTTCGATGTAATAGGCAGGAAGCAGCTTCACTCCTGACTCTATGCTTTAGTATTCGGCACAACCACATTAGAAGTGATACTCAAATCATCACTGGTATTTGACCCACTCATAATCTAGAAGGCATTAATGACAGGTTGTTTATGTGCTGCTCACCTGTTGTATGGCGTACTGGGTTCGTCTATCTTCATCAGCCCATAGTCCTTATCTGCCGGGTGATATGTGGCCAAAATGTTCATTTCATCCCATTTCTGTGACTTCTTCCTGAAAGAATAGGTCCAAACACGGATTTAGAGATTAAGCTATTAGCCCTGATGCAAATATTCCCACTGAGATCTGCTACATTAAACAAAGGACTCTGCCCCACTTTATAACTTTATGGATTACCTTGGAAACAGAGGACACAAAAAAAAATAGCATCAAATGGCATACATAGCCAAATATACCAACCCTTTAGTGATATAAATGGTAAACCTGACTTGATTGGGAAACTTTGGCACACAAGGACCTTTCTCACGTCTCAAGGCACGAAATTGGGACATTTTGGTCGTATGTGCGACAGAAATTGAATCTGTGCAACATTCATTTATTTGGGAGTATTTTTGTGAGTACAAATGATTGTTGTGGTGCGACTTTTTTTTTCTAGAGATGCACCGGTCAACCAGCCATTTTTGTTTAACTTTGGCTTATCTCTATTCCGGACTTTCACACAAACGGCATTTCAATCATTTTTTAATCACATTTGTGTGAAAATATTATGTTAACAGGACATTAACGCAGGCTAGAGACGGGACACGCTGAAGACGGGCGCAAAGAGGAGAGCGCAGACGCGCAGCAGAGCAAATACCAGGCACAGCAAGATCACGGTTCATGATGCTCGAAACATAGGAAGAAAAATATAATATTGGGGTGGGGGTTTATATGAATGCATCTCTGAAGGGAACTGGCTGTCTTCAGAATAGGTTCGATGGCTTAATCTTTTCCTCTTTCCTCCGTATAGTGTTCATAAGCGCAGCTGATTTGTTCACAGCGGTACTCAAAGAAACGCTTATTTTCCAAAAGAGCCACCAGCTGTCAAAGAACGAAATCACATTTTCATTCATTCAGTCTGTCTGTTTTTGTTTTATGTGTCTTATGTAACAATTTTACAAATTTAAAGTCACATCATTCTGTATTTGCTCTAAGTTTTGTAATTATGCAATGTAATTTAAATCAAAACAACAGCTCATGCTACATGTGTGTAGCATCTTTGGTAGCATTAAAATGCAGTGGTTGCCTCTTTCACATTAGTTTTTTTAAGGCCAGTTTGCCCTGTAATAGAGCAAATGAACAATAAAATAAATTTGCCTAAAGAAAAAATAAATAAATCAGCAACCGGTATCGAAATTGGCCGATTTGCTTGTAAAAAAGGTTTGTTTTGTTCTACGTAGAACCCAGAAGCGCTGAACAATAGCGTCAACAACGTAGGAGAATGACATGAAAGAGAAGAGATTGTAGAATAAAGTTGTTATTTTGGGGGGGTTTTGCGCACAAAAAGTATTCTCGCCGCTTCATAACATTAAGGTTGAACTACTGTAGTCGCATGGACTATTTTAACGATGTTTTTACTACCTTTCTGGGCCTTGAAAGTTGCAATGTCATTGGAGGAAATGGGACAGAAAGCTCTCAGATTTCATCAAAAATATCTTCATTTGTGTTCCGAAGATGAACGAAGGTCTTACGGGTTTGGAACGACATGAGGGAGAGTAATTAATGATTTTTGGGTGAACTATCCCTTTAACGTCAGTTATATTATTATGAAGAATTCATTTTTAAAAAGATCTACATTTTCAGTTTCATTCATAGTGATAACATGAAAAATGTGCCATAGTTTACTGGAAGATTGCTGCCATCTACTCGAAAACAAAACACTTAAAATTAATTTTGAAAGAACAGTATGCCAGAGAAGTGCTTAATGAATATATTTAATTACTCTTGCTATGTGTGTTTAGGCTATAATGTGGTGTAGGTGCTATTTTTGTATAGTTTCACCAGTATCAGCTTTTCTTTTATATATATATATATATATATATATATATATATATATATATATATATAGTAATGTAACACCCAATGGTCACACTACAGCATTAATGCAGTTTCTGTGCTTGTATAAATGATCAGTGGTGGAATTGGCTGTGCTGCGAGGAGTCCAGGGCAGCAAATTGGTCAGGGCCGGCCCTGCATTTCAAGGTTTGTACAACCTTTTGAGAATGAAATTCAAGCACTTTTCTATGACTTTCAAGTGCTTCACACTTTTTCCAGCCCTTCAAAGCTCTAAATATTATCCAATTTAAAGCTGCAGTCCGTAACTTTTGGCGCTCTAGTGGTTAATAAACCGAACTGCATGCGTCTTCTCTCCGTTTATGTCTATGAGAAGTCACGCAGGTACTGGGCTACTCCGCAGTGGTGCCGACCGGGCTAAAACAGTCCGGTTTAAACATGGTTTGGAAAATGGATTCATGATGTACTCGCTCATTATTTGATTTTTGTACATTTTGAACACAAAAAAAAGTTACGGACTGCACCTTTAAATGTTATTTTTAATGTGATGACCAAAATTAAAACTTTTTTTTACATTTTTCTCTATAAAAGTTAGGTTTTTCCATGTTACTGTTGTTAATAGCAGCTATTTTTATCTACATCTCATGCTCAGAATCAATTGTGCATTTCCAAGAAATAAACGTAATATTATTAGTTGCTACACTTAATAATGCAAAACAATAGTAATTTTATGATTAAATTACCTTTATGCTTTGATTTATGATTAAACTTTGTATTTGACCATATGAATCATCAATAAGTCAAAGTGTTACAGCTAAATTTAAAGTATGCCCTTAATCAATAGATTTTGGGCAGCAGCAATCATCAACACCCACTCCACACACTGACAGAGACACTTCACAACACAAAGCATCTGATTGGCCTTCAAGCAGTTTAAACTCTGACATGCTACTACAAACCTGTAACTAAAGCACTGGTCGACGTAGTCCGAATCAATTCTTGCCGTCTTCTATAGTCAGATGAAACCCCTGCGAGTGCGTTTAGTGACATGAACGCAGTAGACTGGACCACTAATGCTTGTGCAGTAGCAGTCAAATGTGCCAATCCACACGGAAGAAGAACAGTTACACAACCGCCGTTTGGACGAGGTGCTATGTTACAAAGCAAGTGTGGAAATCTGCTCAATGCAGGATTAAAAACATGATGATTTTTAACTACAGCATTTCAAGTCACCAAAGCACAACCTACAATACTCTTGTTTTGACAAGAGGATTATTTTTAGCTCTCTTTTTAGGGAGGTCCTGGACACAATCAGGGCAAGGTTTACCTAATGCGCACAGGTCTATGATGCATAAGACAGAAAGATGAAACTAAAGCAGAACCGAGGACCAATCGAGTAATGCTAATCTCTTCAGAATAGATGTTCATGTTCCCTCACAAAAAATTCGAGAGATTAGTTTCATTCATGTCAGAGGCAGAGGCCAACTCAATGGTGAACAGAGATTTATTCTGGGTCACGTGGGAGCATACGGTGCACTGTATTAGGGGTCATGTTTTTACGGATCATGGGTTACAAACACAGTACATGAGCAGCCGTCTGTAGTGACTTATTAGGAGAACAAGCACAATACAATAGAAGGAACTTGTCTGCGGTTAGGAGACCCGAATAATGCAAAACCTCATAATTCAAACAATGTGAGATCTACAAGCTGGTACAGGATATCCCTTAATATATATATATATATATTTTTTTTTTCAAAGTTGCCAAAGTCTACGGCAGGTGTTTAAAAAACAAAAAAAAAACAGTTGTTGGGAAAATAACGCCCTCATCTTCATACAGGATAAGCTGGGATATACTATAACCAGGGCTGGGCAATAAAACGATAATGATAAGCATTGCGATATAACTTTCCTCTATACAATTATAAAAAAAGTTTGATAAATGTTCGATATAATGTTATGCACCAAAAGCGGAACGAAACAGCGCTACTCTTTTGAACCGCGAGCCACACAGACGATTTATCCGTTCGACTCACAGTTCATCATTATTCAAGTCATGATGCTTGATGAGGAGATGCTTGCTGTTACTACTTTTATACTTTATATTTTTGCCTCTTGAATGAGAAAACTGGAAAAAATAAATAAATATCATAGACTTACAATGAAAGAGGGACCCATGCCATATCTACAGACCAAAATATCAGAGACTTGGGGGTTAGCCAGTAAACAAAAGCCTAGCAACCACCTAGCATGCCTTAGCAACCGCATAACACACCAGAAGACACTGAGAACACCTCAACAAATGCCCTGGCAAACACACACACACACACAGTATTGTGCCGGTGATTCTGCACGAGCAAAAATGTAAATCAATCAAGTGTTTATTACAAATCAGCCACCTAAGAAGTCAAACTGAATTGACCAAAAGAAATAAAACATTTTGGAAGAATTAATTTACCATATTTTCCATAAATTAAGTTGTCTCTATGAATAGCCTAAGTCACATTTTATTGTTACATTTAGAAATAATATAAAATTTAATTAAACGATTACAAATATTATAAGAACTAGAAACATTCACTTTTAGTTTGAATTTGACTCTATCCTGAACAGAACAGGAATGATAAATATAAGCATAAAACAAACAAATATTAATTAAAAGCATTTTTAAAACCGCCAAGTCTTAACATTTATTTAAAGTGAAAGTGAAACTATTAGCGTGTGGGGGATGCACTATAAAATAAACTTATATACTTTCATTCGACATGAAGTGTGTGCGGCACTTTGCGCATGTTTTGCGTGCTTGACGATAATTGCAATAAAGTCGCTTTGGACTATAAGTAGCAGCATGTTATGATAAAATAACGTGATATTTCAGAAAATAGGATATAATAGTCCTGTTTATCAGAGTAAAAGGGTTTTAATTTTTTTTACTTTTTCCAAAAAAACACATTGCTTGTTGTGGGACAAGAGAAATATCATAACATAATAATACGATCAACAATACTTCCGTCATCTAGCGCAGTGTTTCCCAATCACTGTGCCGTGGTACACTAGTTACACAGGTGTGCTGTGAAAAATGAACAAATTCCCAAAAATGATTTAAAATAAATGCTACAAATAAGAAAATATCAATCTGCTGTTGGGCCGAAACATTGAATCTCTCTATTTGTCATTGACTACGTTTACATGCAGCCAATAACCCGTTCAAAACCGGGATATTAGCAATAACCCGGTCACGCACGGCCATGTAAACACCGGCAAAAACCCGAATATGCTCATATCCCAGATTTTAAAAACCGGGATATGATACCTGGGGTACCCCTTTTCTAACCCGAATTTTTGGTCATGTAAACGTGCATCGGCATATCCCCATAGTGATTTGTCTTCTGCGCATGTTCTATTCGCAAGGAATCTTGGTCTTTTGAGTAGAGGAACTTCTCAGCGCATACAAAAACCCGCGTGCAGTATACCGGAAGCAAACATGGCGAGACCAGAGCCCGTCTACATTCTCTGGCGAGACGCAGCACTTTTAGAACGAGGTCAGTAACGTTACCAGCACCAAAGCGCAAACAAAGGCGATCGCTATCTGCCCCGAACTATTCATTATCCGCGTGCTGCTGTTGTTGTTGTTGTCTTTGGATACAGGAAGAAGAATCGGAAATGACGCATAGTGCGTCTTAAGGTTGTCCGTACGTCCAGACGCTAACCGCGCGTCGCCGTTTACATCGGGATATTGCAATTCCATGTATACAGGAGAAACTCTCTCTGCTCACGCATGTTAACGGGTTATTCCTAATGTTTCAGAAACCCGAATAGTGACCTTAACCCGACCATAACCCGAAAATGGGCTGCATGTAAACGTAGTCATTGTTTTATAAAGTTAATGCTGTTGGTCATCCTTTACGTCTGTATGTGGGAATTACAAATATTTAACCAATAAAAAGCATTTTAAAGAGGTTGTGACTAAACCATTGGCTCCTCAAACTGTCAGTCAAACTGGATTACTCAATCCCGCCTCCATTTCGAAAGCACCGCACTCGGGCAACGCTTGGAGACATCTCTGCTTGTGTGCAATGCAAGGGAAAATAAAGAAGTGATGTTTGCGGAAGTACAGCGTTTTATTCACTCGAGAAACACGTCCATAAAGGCTAACGTTTTCTGTATTTGAATTGTTTTAGTCTTTGCCGTCTAGTCTAGAAGCAAATATAGTGTTTTAAATATCTTGTGCATACATAGCGCTTCATCTTTTGTATCATGAGATTTTGATCATGAGATTTTGATCATGAGATTTCAACAACAAGAAAACTGAGCGCCCATATTACACTTAATATCCTGTATGTTGATGGAAACGTAATGCGACGCACTTACTGCCTCAGATGCGGCTGTTCCCGTGACAGACAAACTATCTGTCATTTGCTGGCCAAAGACCTCGTAACTCAATTTGAGCTTGATTTTCATAAAATGTTAATATTATAAATCACCTGCGAGTGTCTGACCATAGCTATATAAAGCCACAATTTACCAACTTTGACAACAGTGTTTAATTAAAAACGAGTGATATATGTAAATGTATTGTTTTATCATCAGCAACAACATCATGCTTATTGTGTTCCTACCGGACTTAGGCTTTCACATTAAAAGTCAGCACTACTTTTCATATAGGCTAGCCTATAATATCTACATTTATATGCCATTTTTAAGCAAGGCATGTTTGTGCAATTTTGTTATATTTTTATATAGTGGTGTGTGTCATGGGATTTTTTACTTATCAAAAGTGTGCCGTGGGAAACACTGATCTAGTGGTTACACTCTTAAACTAAAAATTAGAAAATTCCTCAAAAAACACATTTTTTTCATTAATTTCATTAATCTAAAGAACCTTTTGTAGAATAGAAAGGTTCCATGGATGTTAAAGATTCTCTATGTAACCAAAAATGCCAATTAAAAACCTCTTTTTTAAGAGTATCGTCACTGAATACATTTTTTTTAAGGGTCTAATTTAGTGTCACTGCAGTCTCACGGGACGGGAATTCAGTAATACGTGCCATTCTTACAGTGTGTCCTATTTTCCTAAGAGTGGGAGAGCTGGATTCAAGAACAATGTCTTCTGGCATGAGAGAGGAAGCCAACGAGAACACCTACATACAGTCGACACACATGCCATACTGACGAACACAACCTCCATGACCAAGAGCTTTAGTGCCTCCTTTATTGATGCTTCTGAAAAATCCTGTTCAGATTTTGGTCGACCTAAAATAACAAATCGATACGAGTGCTGAATATAGATAAAGCCAGATGGCTCAGTTAACAAGGAAGTGGGTTTGTCTTTATTTCGGTCCCATCCTCGATGTGATTGAGACAACTTCTCTGACCTCCAGGAGAGACGGGCGTCCACGACTTCTATGAGTGACTCTGGATCAGTTAATGTCAAAACGAATGAGATCGATTTTTACATGCGTCGCCCTTCAGGCAAAAAATATATATAATAATAATAAATCACTCATCTGATTTTCAAATCTGCAGTGACAGCTGTGTTTTATGATAGCAAGAGTGAGCGGACTAGTGTTGTTATTACAGATTTATGTTGACGTGTTTTACTGTTCATGTTATCTAAGAGAAACCACACTTCCTGTAATATTTTCTTTAATTTTATAATAAATAAAAAATCATCTTGGAGAATCTCATTTTACCCCAACGCCAAAAGAAAATATATTTTGCCTAAAATAAGCCAATTTTTAAAACCATTTAGCTTTTGGTAGTGTGACATTATTCAGTCAAACCAAAGATTATTCTGACACCAGATATATTTTGTTTACTACTGGGTGCAGGACACTATAGTTCATTTATGTAGGTGAGGATGCAAAATAAAGTAAACTAAAAGATTAGTGAGACTTTCCCAGTTAATTCTTAAGTCATAAAATGATTTAATATTAAGGAATATGAATTGCTTTTAAGAAATTTCTAGCCTTAATGATCCACTGTATGCATGTAATAATGTTATTAATGAAACTTTTTAAAGTCCATTAGAGGAAAATAACAATATCAGTTTGAATTACATAACTTGTATGTTTGGTCAAGGTAAAATGACTGAAGACGATCATACTTTTGCTACATATCAGTGAATTAAAATTAACCCATATTTTACATCGAGTTGTGCATCTAAACAACAGGTTCAGGAACTGACTAGAAGAACACAGCTGGTTAGTAAAAAAGAGAGGGAAAGATTCATGTTAATTCCAGTAGGAGGGTTAGTGACAGGTCAGTGGCTAACCTATTAGCAAACTATGCTACTATCACAGTACTCCAACTGGAACAAACCATTAAACTGGACCAGTAATGGACTGGTTGAGTGCACTAGTTCAGGTCACTGTCAACATCATTTCAGAGCAGAGTTTGATTGACAGGTCTCACGGTGACAGTAGCACTGCTATAGACGCCCCGTCTGACTGATTTAAGCTGTTTTAAAGAGCATTTACTCACTGTTGGTCGTCTTCAGAGTTTATAGGGGGTCCTGGTTCTGGAGTTTCCTGGACTGGCTCTTCGGGTCGGCCTTTGATACTGGATTTGTTCTTCAGAATCCCTTTAATGGGTCGCGGTGCTGCCATAACCGTCAAACCCACCCACAACTCCTCTTTTGCACTGTTTACGCCTCAAACAAACGACTAAAACACACCGGGGCTGCTCAGAAACAACACTCTGAACTAATTCGTTAATCGCTTATGTATTGCCTGCCTTAAAATGAAAGTTAAACGCTGTTTGTGAGTAAAGTTTGCGACCGTTGATGACTTGAATTCCGCCAGAGCTCGCGCACGCACTTGTCCATTTACAGCGAGGAAAGGAAATAGGGCGCCGCAGTCAGTCTCGCACTCTTTGCCATCGCGAGAGTTGGAGTGTTGCTATAGCAACGTAACTCTAAAGTGTCGAGGAACCGCCGCCATGTTTGTTGGGGTGGTGAGGTCAAGCACAGGACAGGAGTCACAACGTGCGCATTTTAACCGATTTTAACGAGCATCAGTTTAATTAAAGCATTTATCTTTATTACTTCACAAATATCATAATGGATATGAAAATACTTTAGTCAGGGTAGGGCAATATTTAGTGTTTGACCGGAATGAACATGATGAAACTTGACACATAGAAGTACGTGTGTTAAAGTCACCATGAAATCAAAGTTGACCATTCTTGGTTTTTTAAATTATTATTATTATTATTATTAATATTATTATAAATAATGCACATATTTTTTCCTTAAAATTCACGTGCCCTTGTAATCTAATTAAAATAAGTCTTTGTAAGTCACTGTCTCTTTTTTCCAACATAATAATGACCTGCGCCACACAGCACACGGATGAAATGCAATAAACACAGTCATGCTATCTTGTGTTTGGAGGCAGATCAGATGCCTGGTGTTTGGGAACGCAATCATGTGAGACAGTTCTTGGAGGGAGGTATACCCAACCTTTTTGATGACAGACGACTCAGGCATTTCAGAATGATTAAATTAACATTTTGTCATTCAGACCTCACGTCCATCCTAACATCTCGCTCGTTGCCAGTTTTCTGATTACATGATCTGTTGAGGCAAAGTCACGTGACTTTGCTATAATCAAGCATGTTATTGGGCACTTGGTATTGATTTGAGAAATTTATGTTGCAAAAATAATTAATTTAGCACAATTATGTTCCATATATCCATTGTTTATCCCATGTTGTTCCTTATTGCGACAAGAGCTGCTAAATTAATAAATTGCAAATGGTACCTTTGTAGACATCTTTTGCTAGACAAAACACATTGCTTAAAACCATCACTCACTTTCTCAAAACCTTAAACACAAAACCTCTTTTACAGAACCTCTGACTCTTCTGGCAAAATCTAACAATTGCCTCAAAACCATTCTATCTGCTTAAAATCAAACGATGCTCTCACATCATATACGAGTCAATATTATAAACACTACAGATCATTCGTTAGACACTACATCAAAAAATGGAGAACACAGAATCCAAAGCACGCAGTTGCAGAAGGAAAGTATATTGTAACAAAGGAAACAAATTTTGCAATTACTTAAAATGGATAGTAATGACAACTTACAGTAGTAAAGTGAATAAATTGTATACTGTATATGCGCTGCAAGTGTAGTATTGTACTGAATATTGTATAGGCCTATCGAATGTCTGTATATTCAGCACTTGCAGACTGTGATAATACAGAGACCCAACGGCATAAGCCATAGAGGTTACAGTAAAAACTCTACATGAAAGCATGTTACAGTCAAGTGCACTCAGAAGAGTCATGTGACTGCAGAATCACGGTCAGTGAGAGACTGATTCTGCTTCAGCTTCACGGCCGGAGGAGTTTCTCCACATCACACACACTGTGGTCTCTGCAGGAGAAGGGGAAACCCTACAGCAGAGCCAGCCTTGACAACACTATACACACTCTTCCTCATCCTCTTCCTCCTCCTCCACCTCTTCCTCATCCTCTTCCTCCTCGTCCACCTCCTCACCCATTCTCTTCCTCCTCGTCCACCTCCTCTTCCTCATCCTATTCCTCCTCTTCCACCTCCTCTTACCCATCCTCTTCCTCCTCGTCCACCTCCTCTTACCCATCCTCTTCCTCCTCTTCCTCATCCTCTTCCTCCTCGTCCACCTCCTCTTCCTCATCCTCTTCCTCCTCGTCCACCTCCTCTTACCCATCCTCTTCCTCCTCGTCCACCTCCTCTTACCCATCCTCTTCTTCCTCGTCCACCTCCTCACCCATCCTCTTCCTCCTCATCCACCTCCTCTTCCTCATCCTCTTCCTCCTCGTCCACCTCCTCTTCCTCATCCTCTTCCTCCTCGTCCACCTCCTCTTACCCATCCTCTTCCTCCTCCTCTTCTTACCCATCCTCTTCCTCCTCGTCCACCTCCTCTTACCCATCCTCTTCCTCCTCGTCCACCTCCTCTTACCCATCCTCTTCCTCCTCCTCCTCTACCTCATCATCTTCCTCCTTGTCCACCTCCTCTTACCCATCCTCTTCCTCCTCGTCCACCTCCTCTTACCCATCCTCTTCCTCCTCGTCCACCTCCTCTTGCTCATCCTCTTCCTCCTCGTCCACCTCTTCTTGCTCATTCTCTTCCTCCTCGTCCACCTCCTGTCCACCTCTTCTTACCCATCCTCTTCCTCCTCGTCCACCTCCTCTTACTCATCCTCTTCCTCCTCGTCCACCTCCTCTTACCCATCCTCTTCCTCCTCGTCCACCTCCTCTTGCTCATCCTCTTCCTCCTCGTCCACCTCCTGTCCACCTCCTCTTACCCATCCTCTTCCTCCTCGTCCACCTCCTCTTACTCATCCTCTTCCTCCTCGTCCACCTCCTCTTACTCATCCTCTTCCTCCTCGTCCACCTCCTCTTACTCATCCTCTTCCTCCTCGTCCACCTCCTGTCCACCTCTTCTTACCCATCCTCTTCCTCCTCGTCCACCTCCTCTTACTTATCCTCTTCCTCCTCGTCCACCTCCTCTTACCCATCCTCTTCCTCCTCGTCCACCTCCTCTTACCCATCCTCTTCCTCCTCGTCCACCTCCTCTTACCCATCCTCTTCCTCCTCCTCTTACCCATCCTCTTCCTCCTCTTACCCATCCTCTTCCTCCTCATCCACCTCTTCTTACCCATCCTCTTCCTCCTCGTCCACCTCCTTTTACCCATCCTCTTCCTCCTTGTCCACCTCCTCTTACTCATCCTCTTCCTCCTCGTCCACCTCCTCTTACCCATCCTCTTCCTCCTCGTCCACCTCCTCTTACTCATCCTCTTCCTCCTCGTCCACCTCCTCTTCCTCCTCGTCCACCTCCTCTTACCCATCCTCTTCCTCCTCGTCCACCTCCTCTTACTCATCCTCTTCCTCCTCGTCCACCTCCTCTTCCTCCTTGTCCACCTCCTCTTACTCATCCTCTTCCTCCTCCTCTTACTCATCCTCTTCCTCCTCTTCCTCCTCCTCTTACTCATCCTCTTCCTCCTCTTCCTCCTCCTCTTACCCATCCTCTTCCTCCTCTTACCCATCCTCTTCCTCCTCATCCACCTCTTCTTACCCATCCTCTTCATCCTCTTCCTCCTCGTCCACCTCCTTTTACCCATCCACTTCCTCCTTGTCCACCTCCTCTTACTCATCCTTTTCCTCCTCCTCTTACCCATCCTCTTTCTCCTCGTCCACCTCCTCTTACTCATCCTCTTCCTCCTCGTCCACCTCCTCTTCCTCCTCGTCCACCTCCCCTCCTTTTACCCATCGTCTTCCTCCTTGTCCACCTCCTCTTACTCATCCTCTTCCTCCTCGTCCACCTCCTCTTACCCATCCTCTTCCTCCTCGTCCACCTCCTCTTCCTCCTCGTCCACCTCCTCTTCCTCCTCTTCCACCTCCTCTTCCTCCTCGTCCACCTCCTCTTACTCATCCTCTTCCTCCTCGTCCACCTCCTCTTCCTCATCCTCTTCTTCCTCGTCCTCTTCCTCATCCTCATCCTCCTCGTCCACCTACTCTTACTCATCCTCTTCCTCCTCTGACTCATCCTCTTCCTCCTCTTACTCATCTTCCTCCTCGTACACCTCCTCTCACTTATCCTCTTCCTCCTCTTACCCATCTTCCTCCTCGTCCACCTCCTCTTACCCATCCTCTTCCTCCTCGTCCACCTCCTCTTCCTCATCCTCTTCTTCCTCGTCCACCTCCTTTTCCTCATCCTCTTCCTCATCCTCTTCCTCCTCGTCCACCTCCTTTTCCTCATCCTCTTCCTCCTCCTCTTCCTCCTCGTCCACCTCCTCTTACTCATCCTCTTCCTCCTCATTCACCTCTTCTTCCTCCTCGTTCACCTCCTCTTCCTCATATTGTTTCCATTCATTGTTGGTATCAACATTTTGAGTAAATTGTGGCACTCTGAACTGACTTGTATTATGTACAGTTGGTTTGGTCACATCATTAGAAATAAGTGTGAACAGTTTTGAGCCGTTGTGTGTGTGCGTAAACTACGACAACTGTGTTGTAGTTGTGTTTAACTTTCGCCTGCCTGTTTTTAGCGTTATGAAACACAAGTGCATCACAGAGAGAAATGTGTTTTAGTGAGTGAGAATGTGTTTAGAGTTTCACAGAAAGAGTGCATGAGATTTGCAAACGGTGTTTTAACTGCCTGAACTTGTTTACGTTTTTACACAAAGAGTGATTCGACAAATTGGTTTTAGGCTATTAAGAATTTGGTTCAGAGAATGGGGTTTAGTGTTTTACCAATTCGGAAAAACTGTAATATAGATTTTTAAATCAACAAATAGATTCTTTTTTCTTCTTCTTCTTCTTCTTCTTCTTCTTCTTCTTCTTCTTCTTCTTCTTCTTCTTCTTCTTCTTCTTCTTCTTCTTCTTTCCATGTTGTTCAACCAGCTTCACCATTAACAGCAGGACCACTAGTCTACCCAACGCTGACTCAGCACAGCCCAGTCCGCTATAGATGAATATTGCTACAGACACATTTTTTATGAGATGACTGATGCACTGATTAACCACAGAGGGCGAGGCCCGCAGATTAATGCTCTTCGAGAATCCCTTACATCAGCAAAACAATTTGAGCGCTATGTCTGAGTATGAGGGAACTATATGATGATCCTTTTCCTGTGTGATCTTGCAGTGTTTGTTAAAAAGCGTAAGTGTGTGTGTGTGTGCGTGCGTGCATGCGTATGTGTGTCGGGTCCAGGTAAACTTTATAGGGACAAAATCCCCACAAAGATGACGATATCTGAAATCCTTGTTGGGATATGTATGGTCCCCATGAGGAAAATGGCTTATAAATCATGCTAAAATGTTTTTTGAAAATGTAAAAATGATGTGAAATGTAAAAAAGATTCTGAAAGGTTTTCTGTGATAGGTTTATGGGTGGGGTTAGGGAATCATATATTCAGTTTGCCTAGTATAACAATCATGATGTCTATGGGAAAGTCCCCATACAACATGAAAACCAGAAAACCCAGCAGTGGATGTGTTTTACCTCCATGTGTCTTGTAATAACAGAAGCTTCATGCAAACAATCCATCCCTGAAACTGAATTTGTGAATGCCTACACACCTTCTCATAAGGATGGATGGATGATGTCATCACTGCTTTCTCCTGACCTGAACTCATGTCATCATTGATGGTGTTTACGTATTAAACAGAACTGAATCAACACTGAACGTCTTATTTGAGACATTGCAATGAAAACTTTTTTAGAAAATAGCAAAAAATGGAAGAAGTTTGGAGTTATGTCTTGGAAAATTTTAATTTTAGAGGTAAACAATTGTTTAGCCATTATGATGTAGTGTCAAAAATGTTTTTATTTATTTATTATAAATTTTTTTTTTGACAGACTTATTAGAAAGTGGCATTAAACGGATGATGAATTTTCATTCGCAGGTACAAAAATAACCGTTCTTGTATACTTTTCAGCTTCATAAGACTTTTTTAATTGTATCAGATTTACGAAACCGTGCCATGAAGTGGAGGACGAATGAGGGTGGAAGGGTTGAATCTTTCTTTAAACAATTTTCAATCTCACGTATAACTTGCAAGATACAAGGTGATCTGGCATTGGAACGGTTTACAATGGACAAACAATGGTTTAGCTGAATTTCACAGTACATTTAAGGGATTTATACATCTTATGAAACAATAGCAGAATTGATATCTTTCAAACCACTTGATTTCTTTTACCTGAAGATGAAGACACCAGTGAATCACACTGTTCTCGATCTCCACAACATTTATAAAACATCAGCCAGGTACATATTTGAGGTATTATTTTAAACATAAATTAAGTCTACACAGAGGTTTATTTTTATATACAGTACATTGATATATTATGGCTGTTTATTCAGGGGTTTTCGAGAATAATGTACAATGTAATGTAAAGGACAGTTTCTAGATGGCAGATTTATGCCGTTTATCAATCAGTTTTTGCCCATCACTTGCAACCATCTCTTCATAAATGAATGATTAATGTCCTCACAGAGGATTTAAAAGATATCTTAACAACCAAACTTTATTTGCAAACAGTGTAGAAGTTATCCCACTATCCTCCAGTTGTCTATAATGTTGCAGTTGGATTGGAAAAACGTGCAAATGATGTATTCTCAAGCTTGTTGTGTGAATTTCACCTCACACACACACACCTTTAGTCTCGTTATATCAGGGTCGTGAGTGAGGACAGCAAGCTCAACATCAGAAGCAGGAGGCTGAAGCGAGTGCAAACTCCATGGTTTTCCTGCAGGCAGTCGGTGTACGGCTCGATACAGGCGGCGTAAGCCATGGCGTGAGGGATGTAGCTCTGCTCCTGGACGCCGTGGAAGAGGTGGGCCATCGGGCCTTTGGCAAAAATGGCAACGTCCTCAGAGCCATGAGTTTCTGAGTCAAGAGGAACCGCAGCCTGCTGAAGATATGCATCACTGCCTGCAGGGAACAACACCCAAATATTCATTAATTAGCCTATACAGATATTATTTCATTTATCAAATTATTAAAGGAATATCTCATCCCAAAATTAAAATGCTTTTGCCAAAGCGTCTATATCCAACGCACATGGCACCCTTTAGCGTCAATATGAGACGCTGATATATGGCGCCTCCTAGTGGTCTAACCCTAACACTACCCCAGACCTAAACCTACCCATAACCGAGGCGTGTTATATTGACGTTAAAGGGTGCCATGTGCGTCGGATGTGTAGACGCTTTGGCAAAAGCGTCAGTATATGACGCCTTGGGATGAGAATGCGTTGGTTCCTCATACAAACTATTATTATGTTTCATTCTAAGGAAAAGAGCAGCCTGGAGATTGTACTAAACTTCTTATTTTTGTGTTTCATTCAAAAGAGAGGAAGTTGTACATTTGAAACAACATAAGTAATGACTGAACGTTTATTTTTTGGATGAAGTACATATACCTTTTAATGTGTTCCTGTGTTTGCAGTGACACATATGACCACAAGATGGGGCGTCTGTATTTTCAAATCAGAGCTTGAATGCACTTAACAATTCTCTTCTGCACTCGAGGGTAAAACAATTAAACTCATAAAACTTACTTGAGACCGTGCTATTCATGTCAGGACGAGTATTATTTGCAATCTGGTATCCTGGACCGTTTCCGTAAAGCGCATTAGTAAAGCTGTTACCATCCTCAGCTTTTGAATAGGAAGTGCCTAAAAGACAAAGAAGTAAAGAAGTTGTTTTTAATCCCAATTTACCCTCAAATCTGTCCTTGTTTTTTTGAGAAAAATGCACTCCTACTGGGCAAATCATTTGAAACCTGAGCAGAAATAATTGGCCTCATTCGGAAAACTCAGATTTTGTGTCATCAGTAACTCACCTTGGAGGACCTTCTTTCTTCTCAAGAACAGGAGTGAAGGTATTTTAAAGAATTTTTCAAACGTGTTTGTCCATACAATGAAAGTCAATGGGGTCCAAATCAACAAAACTGACTTTTATTGTACAAAACAAACAAAAAAAAATCCCAAAATATCTTATTTTGTTTTCCACACAACAAAGTCTTACAAGTTTAAAGCTAAAAGAGGGTGAGTAAATGATGACAATTTTTAATTTTTTGGTGCGCTATCCCTTCAAGCTACAGTCATTTCAAAAGTTGTAGAGATGCAGAAAATGTTGTTTTTGCCTACCTAGCACAGGATTGCCCCTGTAAGAGTATCCACCGAAGGAAAACACATGGGAATGGTCGGCAGTCACCACGGACAGGGTGTCGAGTTCACTCGTCAGCTCGGCCGCCCGCGCAATGGCCCTGTCAAACTCCACAGCCTCAGTCAGAGCGTACTTGGCCCGGCCCGCATGATGGCCATGATCTATTCTCCCACTTACAGGAGAGGAAACACACAGATATAAGTACGCTCGACTCAACACATCTTAATAGAAATGACACTAAATATCCTCTTATCTTCAACAAAGAGGTAGAAGCCTTTCGAGTTTTTGCGAAGAATCTTGATGGCTTTCTCCACCATCTCTGTCAACGACGGGTCCATTGAAGGGTCGCGCTCCAGCTCGTACCTGGTGTCCTTTGGTTCAAAAAGCCCTAATAAAAATAACATTAAACCACATTGAGAATAACCTGGAGTCAAAAAGTATATGGATGCTTGTTTCCGCCACCGAATAACAAAATAAAAAAGGTAATTTCAACTTTTTATCTCGCAGTTCTGACTTTTTTTCTCTCTCGCAATTGCCAGTTCACATCATGCAATTCTGACTTATTTTCTCAGAATTGCGTGATATATTAGCAATTGTGAGTTATAAAGTCAGAATTGTGAGATAGCTAAAAAAAAATCCTCAGAATTGGACTTTATAACTTGCAATTGCAAGTTTATATCTCAAAATTCTGACAAAATAAGTCAGAATTGCGAGATATAAACTTGCAATTGCGAGAGAAAAAAAGTCTGAATTGTGAGTTTACTGTATATCTCGAGAGTTTATATCTCTCAATTCTGACTTCATAACTCGCAATTGCAGTGTATATCTCACAACTGTGAGAAAAAAAGTCAGAATTATGAGAAAAAGCCGCAATTATCTTTTAAATTGTTCTACTCCGTGGCGGAAACAAGCTTCCCTACAAAAGGTTAATGACCACTGATATAACTTTTACACTGTAGGATCAGCATAACTGGTGGAATTTGCCTTTCCAAGTGGAAAAGGCGGACGTACCCATCAGGTAATCAGTGCTGTCCTCGTTCACAGCATCAAACTCGTTTTTATTCCACACATATTTGGAATTCTAAAGAAAGGAGGGATTGTTAAAGGTGAAGTTCATCCAAACATACAAATGTTGTCATCCTCATGTTGTTCTAAACCTGAATGTCTTACTTTCCTCCATAGACCACAAAAGGAGATTTTAGGCAAGATGTGAACCAGCAAGAGTGGATAGATCGCTTCGGTTGTGTCAAGTTTCACATCCATCATGACGTGGGGTTGGTTCTTGAGATGAACTGAACATGAATGAGATTTGCAAGAATACTGAATACTAAAAATTCCTCATTCACCTCCATTGTATGGAAAAGAGCAACCAGGACATTCTTCTAAACATCTCCTTTTGTGTTCCAATGGGAAACAAAGTCTTTTAGTTCTGGAACTTCGTGAGGGTGACCGAGTTTTCATTTTTAATGTATTATGGAAGGGGTTTGACTTACTTTTCTGTTTTTTAACCACTCTTGAACGAGATCTGTTTTGTCACTCCGGCTCCCCGTAACTGTGGGGTATTCAGGATCCAAGGTTTCCTTGGGAAACATGTACTGTCTGCCGCCTCCTAAAATAACCTACAATAAAATCAGAGGGATTTCACAAGCGAGACATTCAGATTGACAGTTTGCTCTTATCTAGAGTTCAATGTTCTGCGAGGTTAGGGCCTTACGTCTATATCAGTATTATGGACGAGTTGGTACGCTATGTCCTTGCATCCCCCTTGGACGGCTTCAGTCGTCAGCTCTTCATCGCTGTACCAGCCTCTTTCAGGAGTGTGTGAGTAACTGGCGGCCGGTGAAGCGTGCTGGACACGTGCCGTGCTTATGATGCCCACAGACTTCCCTGGAAAATACCAAACCAGTCATTTACAGTAGATAAGGTATTCCTTGTAAGCAAATTATGGTTTAGTGTTTTGTCACAGATAAGAGATACTGAGACTCAACTGCTCATTTAACCATAAACGACACATGAAAGCACACAGGGTTCAAAGTAGTGATGTTGATTAGTGAACGAAGCGTTCGAACAAACTGTTGTAAAATAAGTCATTAGTTCAAAGTTTGAACTAACACAAAAGAAGATATTTAGACGAATGTGTGTAACCATACAGTTGATGGACCCCATTGATTTCCATAGTATTTTTTTTCCTAAATTAAAGTCAATGGGACTTGCAACTGTTACACACATTCTTAAAAATATCCTATTTTGTGTTCAGCAGAAGAAAGAAATTGATACATGGAGAGTGAGTAAATGATATCATTTTTGGATGAACTATCCCTTTAACTATCCATGTATACTATAGGCTGCTGTCCTGCTTCTAACAAAGTGGCAGAAGCAACTGATTACTTTCACTTTAGACATAACCAACTGTGTTTATGTAAACCCTGAGTGTATTTGGCAGTATTTGCACAATCAGACGCAATTAAGATAAAGTCCAGTAATCAGGCGCTGTTTGACAGGTTTTTAGTGTGCGCATACTCAGTAAAAGAAAAACGCATGTCATAACAGCACGCGAATGAAAGGGTTAACCGGCAAGGCTTTAAAGCAAATGCAAATATTAAACTTTTGTGAATAAGTGCAGTGTCCCTTGAGTAACTCTACCGCTGCGTTAACATGTGATGCGAATATACGTTGAGTTACAGGTCACGTCAGGGTCTATGGTCGGACCCTAGTTTGGGGGCACCCTAGTGGCGGCGGGGCCCTAAGCAGCCGCTTAGCTCGGGTATAGGGAGGGCCGGCTCTCCGAGACACGGTTGATGCAGTGATCCAGAATTGTAATCAAACACAGGCAAAGGGTCAAGCACAGGAAGGCAGTCCAAACAAACAGGCGGGGGTCAGAGGCAAAAAGGGAATCCACGAAACAGGCAAAAATCCAAGAACCAAGAGACATGAGACCAGGGAGAATGCTCAGAAATGCAGTGCAACAACATACAAGACTTCGCAGTGAGTAAAACCAGGCTTATATGGGGTGAGATAAACAAGATTGAGACACAGGTGACTGTGATAATGGATGAAGAGTCCGGGCAGTGAGTTATGGGAAATGTAGTTTGTGAGGGAATGACAGTAGTCTGATGTGGAGGGCCCTCTGGTGGCTCTCAGGGGCACTCCAGCTGGTGGCCGTTACAGCGACATATGAAGTTGTAATTTCGGTAGTCACAATGACGAAAAATAAAGCTGGAATTGTGAGGTTTAAAGTCGTAATAGTGAGAAATAAAGTCGATATTGTAAGAGATAAAGTTGAAATTGTGAGATTTAAAGTTGTAATGGTGAGAAATAAAGTCACAATTTTACTAAAATCACAATTGAGATATAAAGAAATAAAGTCAATAATTGTAAGAAATAAAGTTGAAATAGTCAGAAATATAGTTGAAATTGTCGAGAAATAAAGTTCAAATTGTGAGGTTTAAAGTCGTAATGGTGAGAAATAAAGTCACAATTTTACTAAAATCACAATTGAGATATAAAGAAATTAAGTCAATAATTGTAAGAAATAAAGTTGAAATAGTCAGAAATATAGTTAAAATTGTCGAGAAATAAAGTTCAAATTGTGAGGTTTAAAGTCGTAATGGTGAGAAATAAAGACACAATTATACTAAAATTGCAACTGAGATATTAAGAAATAAAGTTGAAATTGAAAGATATAAAGTTAAAATTGTGAGAAATAGTTAAAATAGTGAGAAATATAGTTGAAATTGTGAGGTTAAAGTTGTAATGATGAGAAATAAAGTCACAATTATGAAAAATAAACCACAATTGAGATATCAAGCAATACATTCGCTATTTTAAGAAATAAAGTTGAAATTGTGAGAAATATAGTAAAAATTGTGAGTTTTAAAGTCGTAATGGTAAGAAATAAAGTCACAATTACACTAAAATCGCAATTGAGATATTAAGAAATAACGTTGAAATTGTGAGAAAAATAGTTGAAATTTGAAGGTTTAAAGACATAATGGTGAGAAATAAAGTCACAATTATACTAAAATCACAATTGAGATATTAAGAAATTAAGTTGCTATTGTAAGAAATAAAATTTAAATGGTGAGAAATATAGATGAAATTATGAGGAATAAAGTTGAAATTGTGAGTTTTAAAGTCGTAATGGTAAGAAATAAAGTCACAATTACACTAAAATCGCAATTGAGATATTAAGAAATAACGTTGAAATTGTGAGAAAAATAGTTGAAATTTGAAGGTTTAAAGACATAATGGTGAGAAATAAAGTCACAATTATACTAAAATCACAATTGAGATATTAAGAAATTAAGTTGCTATTGTAAGAAATAAAATTTAAATGGTGAGAAATATAGATGAAATTATGAGGAATAAAGTTGAAATTGTGAGGTTTAAAGTCGTAATGGTGAGAAATAAAGTCCCAATTATACTAAAATTGCAACTGAGATATTAAGAAATAAAGTTGAAATTGAAAGAAATAAAGTTGAAATTGTGAGAAATAGTTAAAATAGTGAGAAATATAGTTGAAATCGTGAGGTTAAAGTCGTAATGATGAATAAAATAAAGTCACAATTAAGAAAACTAAACCACAATTGAGATATCAAGCAATACATTCGCTATTGTAAGAAATAAAGTTGAAATTGTGAGAAATATAGTAAAAATTGTGAGTTTTAAAGTCGTAATGGTAAGAAATAAAGTCACAATTACAATAAAATCGCAATTGAGATATTAAGAAATAACGTTGAAATTGTGAGAAAAATAGTTGAAATTTGAAGGTTTAAAGTCATAATGGTGAGAAATAAAGTCACAATTATACTAAAATCACAATTGAGATATTAAGAAATTAAGTTGCTATTGTAAGAAATAAAATTTAAATTGTGAGAAATATAGATGAAATTATGAGGAATAAAGTTGTAATGGGTGAATTTATAAAGAAATAAATTCACTATAATGTCGAAGTTGTGAGAAATAAAGTTGAAATCATGAGAAATGAAGTAGAAGTTATCCGAGGTGAAGTCGCTTTTGATGTTTATTCCACATATACCCACCAGTCCCTAATTTTCTGTTTTGACTGCAAAAAAACCACTTCAAAAGAACATAACATCTGCCTAACTCTGCAACCCTGTGGAATGAATGGCATTAATGGGTGACCTCAGTGCTGGTATTGGCCATTACCTGCCATCTTGGCCCGATGAAGAATGGACTTGACCTCGTTGCCTTTAGCGGAGCTGCAGTCTTTGCGCCGGGCGGCTGCGCTGAGACCCAGAGTGCCGTAGTTCGCCTTCACGCCGCAGAGATATGCAGTGGCTGTGGCTGCGCTGTCAGGCATCTGCTGGTCCACATTATAGGTCTGCGGCCGGGACAAACACAGACAGCAGCATTATTAATCTTTATCAATCTTCACATCTACAGCATCAGCCTCTTCTGTGCGGCCAGGGAGATCTCTGCACCTTGGAGAGAGCCAGATGAGGGAACGTGTCCATGGCTAGGACACTCTCCTCTCCGGTCTTCCCGTCCATCTGTCCCTTCATGATCCTGGCTGCGGTTACAGTGCTGATGCCCATGCCTCACCGCGGGACAAAAACAACAGGTTACACTACTTTAACGCACACAAGTATACAAGTATTATTGGTAACCATCCTATCAGAGTGAGTCTTTAGAAGGATTTGAAATTGACATGATTCATTATTGATTATCTTAGTCCATACAGTAATATTATACATTTGATCTTTACTAAATATGATGTCCTTTTGGTATTATCCAGAAGTTTGAACATTTTTATGTTATATTAACTGAAGAGGCACAATGTGTATACTTACTGTAAATAATCTGATTATCTAATCTAAAGTCTTGTAAAATCTCGTATCTTAGGACTTTGACAGCGGTGATTTACACGTGAAATTTAAAGCACAGCACATGAACCCAAGCAAGGTCTTGTGCTAATGTTCATTGTGTACGTGTTATATGCACTAACATTGTAATAATAGTGTAACTTTATACGCTGTAAAAAGTGATGAGTTGACTTAACTTGAAAAAGGGAGGAAACCTGTAGCCTTAAAATTATTAAGTTAATAAACTTAATGCGGAATTGAAAAAATTAAGTTGTGTGGATTTTTTTTATTTGCTTAACTCTAAGGCAACAGGTTTCCTCCCTTTTTTAAGTTAAGCCAACTCATCACTCTTTACAGTGTAACAGTGCTTGTTCATGCCAAGAATGATAGTTAAAACTATAAAGTTTTAATAATTGTTCTATGAGAATAGTAAAATTCAAACCACATCTATAATGATAATGACACAAAGGAACGATATCGTCGGAATCAGTGTTATTTTAGTATTATTTATATACTAGTATTTATTAATAATTTTAATTGGTGTTTATTTTTATATTACATATTAACTTTAGTTAAACTTTAGTTGAATTAGTTTTAGTTTCTTTTAGATATTTCTATTTAGCTTTAATTTATTTTTGTTTTAGTTTAAGTTCAAGTCATTTTAGTACTTAAACTTATTTCAGTTAGCTTATATATTTCAGTTAAAAAATTTAAGTCTGATAAGTTTAATATTTTATTATTTAGTTTAGTTTAGTTTTATTTTATTTCATTTAGTTTTATTTTGCTTTATTTTTTTTATTTCAATGACCACAAACAATTTTTAACAGCACAGATTGAAATCGCTTTCAGAAAGATGTTTCCGGCTGATAAACCATAAAAACATTGACAGCCAATCAAAATCCACCCGACTTGATATCGTTGGAGCTCAAGCATTTAAAGTGGCAGATGACATAATAAAAGCATGCACTTATAATAAACAGAACATTATTGTCCGTCGGCGTGGACTCTATTTATTATGTCCATCTTATCATTGTTGATGTAAACGGCCTTTATGCTGCAGAAATTAGTGTCTAAAATGTATTGTAATGGCATTTATGTTCCAGTCCAAACAACTGCTAATTTTGACAAATTCCCCAAATCTGTGCACCACAATAATTGGTACATCTCTGCGAAATTGATACAGAGTCTGTTAAGATTATAAAAATATAAAAAAGAACAATGCAAAACCAAGAAATCAGGTTTTAAGTAACTCACCATCTCCGAGGAAGAGGATGAGGTTTTTGGCGCGCCGCGTGTTGGGCATCATGGAGAGGGATACATCAAGAGCCTCTTTAGCCTTACCATACCAAAAGTTTGGGTTCTGCTCCTCCGCTTCAAATTAATCCCAGAAAAGAAACATGGTTTCATTATCTTTGTTTGGAGAAGAAGGAATAACTGTGGCATGGCACTTACCAGGAGAAGCGGAGAAACATCCATCAAAGGCTGCTAAAGCAAATATCCCAGTAATTAGAAGAGTCTGTGTGGAGGCCATGGTCAAACTCAAGACTGTCAAACTCGTCCATACCCTTCTCTTTATAGTTCCCCTAGGGCCAAAGGTCACTTGCACTGTTGATCATGTAGCGTACTTATCATGCACGACAATTTGACATGATATGAATGCTGATCTGAAACCTGCACTGGTTTGAGCAGATCTTTTGGTACTGCTGTTAACTAAGATAAGTAAAATGACATAAGATAATATGTATATGTATTATTGTTTTTTTTTTGCTTAAAACAAGCTAAATTATCTGCCAATGGGATAAGAAAAATAACCTTGTTTCCGTTTGAATTACACGTACAGTAACAATCACTTTCAATGAATACGACAGCAATTATGAAAGTGCTATTTAATTGATAACACAGACAAAATGACTAATGTTTTCTTTTAGAAAGTTTATTGATCTCACATGTTTGAAATTTATAATCACAGTGCAAAAGAGCTTTCCATTGTGCAATATATACAAAAAAAAAATCTGTTTATAAAATAAATGTAAAAAACAACAACTTTACATTTATATACACAGCATTGCACATCTGCAGAGAACAAAACTTCAATATAAACAATTTGGGTTATAAATCTCCAAACAGCCCAAAAGAGTCCTGAGGCCTCAATCGCTCACGTAATGGAGTCTGTCATCTGGCGACAAGCCAAAACGCAGCGGTTAGTGCGATGAGAAGCGCTGAAAGCGTGTTTCTACAGCCGCCGGAGTCGTGGAGACGCAGCGGGCAGTTGGTGTACGGCTCCAGGCACGCTGCGTACGCCATGGCGTGGGCCACGTAGTTCTGCTCCTTCACTCCATGAAAGAGGTGAGCCATCGGGCCTTTGGCGTAGATAGCCACATCTTCCCCTCCGTGTGTCTCTGATTCTAAAGGAACCGCAGCTTGTTGCATGTACTCTTCATCAACTACAAGCAGAATAAGATCATCTATGATAGTTGCATATAAATATATATACATGTATACACTCGTAAAAATAAAGGTTCCAGAAGAGTGTTTTTTGTAGCCATAGAAGAAGCATTGTTGGTTCCCCAAAGAACCTTTCTATGGAAGCTTGTTACCGTCATGGAATAGAAAAATAAAAGTAATGATGACTTCATTGTGAATTTTTTATCCGAATTGAGAGTTTAGCGTCCACACATGTAGAAATTACCGTACTTACGAGATTCCGGCTTGTAAAAAGCACTCACGACCACGTAGGACTTTACAACTTGTAAACTGGGAACTCAGACTTGTACCACCTGACCTCTGTACCACCTGACCTCTGTACCACATGACCTCTGTATCACATGACCTCTGTAACACATGACCACCTCTGTACCACATGACCTCTGTACTGACCTCTGTAACACATGACCTCTGTAACACATGACCTCTGTACTATCTGACCTCTGTACCACATGACCTCTGTACCACATGACCTCTGTACCACCTGACCTCTGTATCACATGACCTCTGTAACACATGACCTCTGTACCACATGACCTCTGTACCACATGACCTCTGTACCACATGACCTCTGTAACACATGACCTCTGTACCACATGACCTCTGTAACACATGACCTCTGTACCATCTGACCTCTGTACCACCTGACCTCTGTACCACATGACCTCTGTACCACCTGACCTCTGTATCACATGACCTCTGTAACACATGACCACCTCTGTATCACATGACCTCTGTACTGACCTCTGTAACACATGACCTCTGTACCATCTGACCTCTGTACCACATGACCTCTGTACCACCTGACCTCTGTACCACCTGACCTCTGTATCACATGACCTCTGTAACACATGACCTCTGTACCACCTGACCTCTGTACCACATGACCTCTGTACCACCTGACCTCTGTATCACATGACCTCTGTAACACATGACCTCTGTAACACATGACCTCTGTACCACCTGACCTCTGTACCACATGACCTCTGTGCCACATGACCTCTGTATCACATGACCTCTGTGCCACCTGTCTTCTGTACCACATGACCTCTGTACCACATGACCTCTTTACCACCTGACTTCTGTACCACCTGACCACCTCTGTACCACATGACCTCTGTACCACCTGACCTCTGTACCACATGACCTCTGTACCACATGACCTCTGTATCACATGACCTCTGTATCACATGACCTCTGTACCACCTGACCTCTGTCCCACCTGACCTCTGTATCACATGACCTCTGTACCACATGACCTCTGTATCACATGACCTCTGTACCACATGACCTCTGTACCACCTGACCTCTGTATCACATGACCTCTGTACCCCCTGACCTCTGTGCCACCTGACCTCTGTATCACATGACCTCTGTATCACATGACCTCTGTACCACCTGACCTCTGTACCCCCTGACCTCTGTATCACCTGACCTCTGTCCCACATGACCTCTGTATCACATGACCTCTGTACCACATGACCTCTGTACCACCTGACCTCTGTATCACATGACCTCTGTACCCCCTGACCTCTGTGCCACCTGACTTCTGTACCACATGACCTCTGTACCACATGACCTCTGTACCACCTGACTTCTGTACCACCTGACCACCTCTGTACCACATGACCTCTGTACCACATGACCTCTATACCACCTGACCACCTCTGTACCACCTGACCACCTCTGTACCACATGACCTCTGTACCACCTGACCTCTGTACCACATGACCTCTGTACCACATGACCTCTGTATCACATGACCTCTGTACCACATGACCTCTGTACCACATGACCTCTGTACCACATGACCTCTGTATCACATGACCTCTGTACCACATGACCTCTGTACCACATGACCTCTGTACCACATGACCTCTGTACCACCTGACTTCTGTACCACCTGACCACCTCTGTACCACATGACCTCTGTACCACATGACCTCTATACCACATGACCTCTGTACCACCTGACCACCTCTGTACCACCTGACCACCTCTGTACCACATGACCTCTGTACCACCTGACCTCTGTACCACATGACCTCTGTACCACATGACCTCTGTATCACATGACCTCTGTACCACATGACCTCTGTACCACCTGACCTCTGTATCACATGACCTCTGTACCACCTGACCTCTGTACCACCTGACCTCTGTACCACCTGACCTCTGTACCACCTGACCTCTGTACCACATGACCTCTGTATCACATGACCTCTGTATCACATGAACTCTGTACCACATGGCATTAACGCAGCATATATCTCACAATCCTGACTTTCTTGCAATTCTGAGTTTATAACTTACAATTGCAACTTATAAAGTCTGAATTGTGAGATATGAACTCGAAATCGCAAGTTCTAAAGTTCGAATTGCAAGACAAAGTTCAAATTGCGAAATATAAACTCACAATTGTGGGTTATAAAGTTCAAATTGCAAGTTATAAAGGTCAAATTGCAAGATATAACCTCAGAACTGCAAGTTATAAAGTAAAAATTGCGAGATACTTTGACTTTTTTTCTCAGAATTGTAAGATATAGACTCCCAATTCTGAGAAAAAAAGTCAGAATTGTGGGACAAAGAAAAATCGCAATCAACTTTTACATTTTTTATTCTGTGATGGAAACAAGCTTCCAAACCTTTCAGTGTTCGGTTCTTAAAATACTTTTTTTTTTCTTACTGCAAATAACTTTTTAACAATCTTTTATAACTTTTTAACAATCTAAAGAAGCTTTTTTCCACTATAAAGAACATTTAGTGGGATGGGAAGATTCCATGGATGTTAAAAGTTCATGGAACCAAAGATGCCAATCAACAACCTTTATTTTTAAGAGGGTACAGGTACTAAACTATGTGAACACTTACAATAATCCACTGCTGAAACGTTTCCTCTTGTTCCGTTCACATGAACGTATCCTGGTCCGTTAGCATACAAGACACTAGTGAAGGGAAGACTATCCTCAGCCTTCTTGGGTGCCAGGCCTGAAAGACAAATAACAAGTAAAAAAGTGCATGAAGCCCCTTGGGTCAAACCTAAACTCAAACCTAATGTCTAATTTCTACTGAAACTTGTATGTCATGTATTTAACCCTCTGGTGCTCTTCGGAAAATGTTTACGTATTGGTAAAAAAAAGAAGAAAATCGGAATGGGACAAAACTGGGTAAGGGTTTTGCCACTTGCTATGTGAACACACACGCACACACTAAAAAATAATAAATGAGAAAAATCACAGACATGAATGGAAAAGGTTAAATTTTCTTGAAAAAAATTGTCACTTGAACTCATGAAAATATTAAACAAATTTCATCTAGTGGAAATGTTTGGTACTGGAAATGTTTGTGCACAAACAAAATCTTAATGAAAGCTAATTTTTGGAGATATCAACCTCAAATTTGGAACACACCTTGTTTAGATTTATGGCTTTTATTTTATTTTTGCAACATGTTTTGGATATTCCATATTAAATTGCATATAAAATAATTTCATATAAAAATTCAAATGAGTATTTTTATGCATTTTTTATTACAATAATTAAATATAATTTCTTTAAGTTTACTTTGTTAAACTGTTTTTCTCTTCAGCAATAATCTGCCAAGTGTCATCTTTAAAAAGAGACCAAACTGAAGTCTGTGCTCCAAAGCATTCAAGATTTATGACAGTTTAAGTTGGAAATTCAGGTTTATGCTCAAAAAGTGAATTAATGGATCATAACTACCATAAAATCCACTTAAAATACAAAATATAAATATGCTAAGCTAGTAGGTTAATCAGTTAGCTTACTAACCAAAGGCTGAAAGCACAAGGAAAGTGAAAAATAGGGAGGTCTAGAGTACAAAATGAATAGGTCATGCTATGTTAGTATACCTTTCTTAACATTGTCATTATTTGAAAGCAAAGAGAGGAAGTAAGCTACCAAAAATAGGGTTCCCTCGGGGAGTGTTTCCACCAAAGGTGAAGACATGGGAGTGATCTGCAGTGACAACAGTGAGAGTGTCCGATTCGCTGGTCAGCTCAGACGCTCTCTGAATTGCCCGGTCAAACATGATGGTTTCCGTCA